CAGATTATTGGTGCTCTGCAGTATCTTATCTATACTCGCCCCGACATAGCCTACTCCGTTAACAAGCTTTCACAGTACATGCATGCTCCAACGACTCGTCACTGGCAGTGTGTCAAGAGACTACTCCGTTATGTCTCTGGCTCCCTCAGCTATGGTCTCTGTATTCAGCGCTCTGTTGGTTCACTATCTCTGTCGGCCTTTGCTGATTCTGACTGGGCCGGTAATCTTGTTGATCGCTCCTCCACCTCAGGTTACCTCATTTATTTTGGTCCCACACTTATTTCTTGGCGTTCTCAAAAACAACGCACTGTGGCCCGTTCCAATACTAAGGCTGAATATCGTGCTATTGCTCATGCTACTGCTGAACTGGAATGGATACAAAATCTGCTGCTCGAACTTCGGTACCCCTTACCGTCCACTCCGGTTCTCTACTCCGACAGCCTCGGCGCCACCTACTTCAGCTCCAATCCGGTCTTCCACTCTCGCATGAAGCATCTTGCTCTGGATTATCATTTTGTTCGTCTGCTTGTTGCAAATGGTCGGCTTCGCATTTCCTATGTTCCCACCTCCCATCAGCTTGCCGACGCTCTCACCAAGCCTTTACCATCCACCCGGTTTCTTCTTCTACAATCCAAGATCGGCGTCGTTGATACCTCCACCGTCTTGCGGGGGCGTATTAGAGATATTAGAGAATAAATTTTTTTTATTTTATTCTTTTATTTCTTTCTGTTAGGCCACCTCTCCCCTGTTCCTAGTTATGTGGAACGTGGAGATCATTCTGTTCCTATTCTTTCTCACTTCACCTGTATATCTAGACGTTAGTTCAATCAATGGAAATCATCTCAGATATTCCAAAAACATATTCTCTCTAAATATTCCTTTCAGATTCGTTAGCTTTGTACTCGCCTGGATATTATTCATCCCGAATCGTGCTTAGTACGGAACGAGCATGAGTATTGAGCCACGTATATTATCCACCCTAATCCACGCTTAGTACAAAACGAATATGAATATTGAGATATCCCACACTCACCCATTGCATTCACTAGTGTATTCCCCTATCCCTTTCCTAGTTTGAAGAGGATTCTCGTCATCTTTGTTACACCGGGCTTGCCGAGTTGCCGTCGTACGTGTGAGTAGGGCTGGCTATTTGGTCGGGACTGTTTGGTTTTACCCGAAACTGGACCGTATAACCCGGACCGGGACCGGACTGGGACAGGATATCAAACAATCCAATCTCATATTCAGGCTTAGATTTGAGGTAAAACCCCCGGATAAGAGACCCCCAACACCTAAAATCAAGATCAAATTGGGACCGGTAAAGACTGGACCAGATCAAGACCGGACTGTATCCAATCCAATCTTTGATCTTTATATTCCCGAAAAACCGAACTGGGACCGGATCAATTTGGTCCAATTTAAGCGGACCGGACCGTATAGCCACCCTACGTGTGAGAGGTGAGAGGGGGAACTGGGCCCAAATTAGTAGCTATTCTGCTTCTAGGCTCAACCAAAAGGTCTACTTTGAACTGACGCTTGAAATTGAGAATCGGAAAATCAAGCTCCATGTTCTCGGTGGCGCAAACCCAAATTAGTTATGGACATAGAAAAACAAATAAGTCTTGGTATCGCGTTGGGCTTTTCATGTTATTCATGGACTCAGATTCAAATAAAGGCTGGTTCGCACGAAGGAAGAAAGCATATTTACACTTGCCACCGCCCAAGAAACTAAGCTTCCTGCCGGTCAAACCAATCGGTTTTCCTGGGTTTGATCTGTTGCGGTTACTTAAACCGTGTTAGTATTGGGCCTTGTTGGGGCTCGTCTGATTTGTTGGATTAGGGTTTTAACCCTAAGTCTTTATCTATATAAGCTTAGCTATCGACTTGTGTGATAGCAAGCCGTCACGATGTAATCCTAATAAGAGATCAGTCGTGAGCTCTTATGAGCTCACCGTGGATTAGTCTCGATCAATCAATCGATCGAGGATACCACGTAAAATCCTTTGTTTTGTGTGTTCGTTTCAATTCTGCATCATCAAATTCGACATGGTATCAGAGCTGGTTTGACTAAGTGGTCGTGTGTTCGAATCTCCACGACCCCCAATATTAACAGTTGTCTTCAAGCACATGGTATGGCGGGCATGTGCAAACTTCAAGCCCATGAGTAGGCTTTCGTTTGAGGAGGCGTGTTAGAGAGTGATATAAGATCCAGCATAACCTTCTCCCAACAACTCGAGTTATTGGGACCAACTGGTTATGACATGGGCTAGTCGTCTCCAATCAACCTCGTCTGAGATGTTATTCATCTCGAGTTTTGTGGTTCAAGCCATCATGCTTGTTCTTCACATTTACTTCTTCAAGCTCGACATTCTTGTCATTCATGTCTTCGCTTGAGGGGGTGTGTTGCAGTTACTTAAACCGTGTTAGTATTGGGCCTTGTTGGGCCTCGTCTGATTCGTTGGGTTAGGGTTTTAACCCTAAGTCTTTCTCTATAAAAGCTTAGCTACGAACCTGTCGTAAGCAAGCCGTCAAGATGTAATCCTAATAAGAGATCAGCCGTGAGCTCTTATGAGCTCACCGTTGATTAGTCTCGCTCAATCAATCGATCGAGGATACCACATAAAATCTCGTGTCTCGTGTGTTCGTTTTCATTCCGCATGATCAAATTCTACATGATCGGTTTGGAGCGGGTTTGACCTAGTCTGAGTTAGTCTATCATGGGGTATCGGGCGACGGGCGCACATGTCTGCCACTGGGTTCTAGCGAATCTGGTCTGACATGTGAATCGACGACGTTGGTCAAGAGATTCAAACCTCAATAACTTAATATGACATATCGGTGATCACCTAGGTACGTGATGGATTGGCCCATCTTTTCGCTATAAATATGATTATACTAAAATGGAACAAAATGTCACTACTGTTTCTACATATAGGAAATCGGAGGATTGATAGAGCAAGAAAACGAACGCAAGAAACAAAACAAGACACAGGGATTTATGTGTTTACTAACATGATGTGTGCTAGCTAGTCTACGAGAAAAGAATAGCCAGTTTCACTATACTTTGAGCAGATACATATTTCATATGAGTATAAGACGTATTTATAGTACTTCTCCATGTGGTCCAACCTTAATCCAATCCAGTAAAGAATAAGGTTACAAACTAGGCTAAGATTAGAAACTCATACGTGTATAAGCCCATACACCGTGTACTTGGGACAATCGAGCCCCCTAACTATCAGTCATAGCCAAATAGTACGATTTAGGGTTGTTAATGAGCCAAGCTATTAGTGAATTGTTCGGTCTCAAACACGATAAAAGCTCGTTCGATTCATTAAAAGCTCGATTCATTTATTAACGAGCCGAGCTTGAACTCAGCCTTGTTCGGCTCGTGAACTAGCTTGATAAGGTGGCTTGTTGGGTTCGACTCATGAACTATCTCATTTTGAGCTCATGAGATGTCTCTATATTGTAACTAGAGAGCCAACTTGGTTACAAATTATGAGAAAATCGATCTATAATTTGAGTATGTGAGCAAATATGTCTCATATATGACATGAAGATCAGTTAATCACATGAATCATATATGACATATAAGTATTAGGGTATCTCATTCATAAATTATCTTAGAGTTGAGTTTGAGCCAAAATTTTGATCTTAATGATGAGCCATGATTCAATAGATAAAATGGCTCGTGTTCTACTCGACTCAGCTCGTTCATAAACGAGCCGAGCTCGAGTTCGACTCATTTATAATGAACAAAGCCCGAACAAGGCAAAGTTCGGTTCGACTCGACTCATTAACAGTCCTGATACGATTCGATAAAAAAACTCTGAGTGGCTTATTTAGTTATATTAAAAAGCTTCAAAACGAGGCGAATAAATTTGTGACTATTCATCCACCAAAAGGAGAAAAAAAAGTACATCCGTTAACATCAAAGTAAAAGATTTGAAAAATCAAAAAGTGTCGAAACGAAATGACGAATGGCCTTAGCTCGGTTTAGATATCAAATATTGTTCCCAAAAACAAAATTTTTTAACAACAGCCAGCCGGACACGACGTCGTATCGCTGAGCAGTAATTAATGCATCGCCGATTTGCCGCAAACGTACCGCTAAGAGGAAAGAAAGGCAACCGGCAAATCCCCCAGAGAAAAAAGTTTATTTACACACAGTCGCGGCCACTCCCAGCGCGACGCAGTCGAGCCATTCGGAAGATAGGCGGAGCGAGCTTCCCGCTCCATTTTTAGCTTCTGGATCAGATTTCTGGCCGCATCTTCTCCTTCTCCCTCCTCCTCGTAGAGGAGAGAGAAGCAGAAGAGGAAGAGGAAGGAAGGTGAAGAAACGAACAAGGTGAAAAGCTGCAAGTCGGAAATCCTTTTTCTGTTTCTTCGTCTCGGAAATTCACTCCAAGTGAACTCGTAATCGTTACTCTAATCTTGCTAGGGTTTTCTTCCCGTGCTTACCATCCCGTCGGAGGTACTGCTTCTAACTGCATTGCGTTTAGATCGTAGGTTTCCGTCGGCACTTGATTTAATCTCCCGTCGGCGGCTGTTTCGTCGGCGAGTTGCCCGAGGTACTCGCTGTTTGTGTAGATTCGCGGTGAGTTGTTTGCGGCTTCGGCTGGAATTTCGTTGGATTTTGGAAATGATTCACGTGGCATGTGCTGCATTCGTGTTTGTCGTGGTTAGGATTGTGAATGCGACGTTTAGGTTTTTTTCTGGCGTTGCTACTGAAAAATCGGAATGTGTGATCTCCTTAGTTTCGCGTTTTGTTCAAGTATCGATTTGATCCCCGCTGCTGTTGGTCTTGGCTGTCTAGAATGTTGAGTGCTTCAAGAATGAGCTCTGAATCTGAAACGTTATGTTTGGCAAAGTGGATTGGACGAAGGAAAGCCAGCTGAATTTTTTAATTTTGGCTCTCTTGTTTTCGTGATGCTAAGTGACGGTAGTTGTTTATTTGCAGTGTATAGACTACAGATGCAGAGATAGTTTCAACATTAATGGTGTGTTCACTGGGAAATGGGAGGATGGCTGTCATGGCCAGGATTCTAGCTGCTGGAAGTGTGTCATCGCAGAATCTAGCAGGTGAAATGAGTGTGAGATGGGGAAAAGGGAGTCAAAGGGTGGGATGGGATATCTTTGTTTGTTACAATTTGGAGTAGAATTGAAGTAATGGTGATGTGAATGGAACTCTTAGCAAAATGAAAAGTGAATTTGAGTATTACCAACAAGGTTTCAAATTGTTATTGTGGTTTGGGATTTCACTCTGATGCATTTCAGCTTATGAAGATGATCCAATTTCTTATTATTTGGCAGTGGAAATTGGCCGTCGACAATCAGCTGCAAAATGCATGTACAGGGAGTTACATGAGGCTGATGAACCAAACTTGCTTGATGAGGAAGGTAAGATATCATGTCCATAGGTCATTACTTATTTTTGAAGATAATGAGTTAGGTTGTCAATGTAGCATTGCCCATGTTGGTATACAAGCTTGAGTGTTAGTGTAGTAACTGTTCTGTTGAGATTTATAGAGCAATGAATGTATCCCCTATGTGAATCTGGTAATACTTCTATTTCTGGGTTAGACAATGGGGTAATACTTTCATTTATGCCTAGCCTAGCTGTTAAGGCTTCACTAAGTGGTGTCTTTTCTCGTAGACATGCATGTCTTTGGTGTGGAGCCAATGACTGATCCTCTGCATCTGGTATGGTTCACAAACTTAATTGCTTTCACTTCTTATTTCTCTTTGACATTCTGAATGGAATTGCTCCCTTTTGGCATTCGATCGACACAATGACTCTTCCAAAGGACTTATACATCTGAAACTCGTATTCCACCTAAACTTTGATAATTATACTGCACTGATAACAAAGAACACACTGTTTTAACTATCAGAATTGACGTTAATAATGTTTTTCAAATGCGTATCTATACCTTGGGTTTTGCACTTTGTTGTATAGATAACTAAACATCAACTTGTATAATGTGTTTCATTCATAACAAAAAAACTAGTATAATGCCTATGGGGTGGGGGGACTAGTATAATATGTCTAACGGGGAATATATTTTTCCAGGTATGCTGCAATGCTTGTAAGAAGCCAGTGAAGGCAAGTCAGTATGCAGCTCATTCAGGTTATGAGTTTTCTGTTTCCTTTGTTTTCCTTTTTCCAGAGAAATTTATCGTGGTTAATATGACCTAGTCTTTGCTCTGCTGTAATCTGATGCCAGCAAATTAAATAATCTTGTATGGATAGTTTTCACTGTAAGAATGTCACTGTTTTGCAAAACATGGAGTCAAGTCTTTTCATTTACCTAGTCTCACATTGCTATCGCTACCAAGGTGCAAATGTGTATCTGGTTAAGTTTGTTTACGTGTTTCTTGTGAATGAAGTTTGTAGTTTTTTGTTAAGCTGTTTGCCCTAACATTTCCCTTAAATTTGCGCAGTTGGTTCTTTTAAATTGGCTTGGTAATTGACAGAAAAACGAGATATGAAGCTTTATAGACTTAAAATGAATAGAAGGGTATCTGCTGGATAGGCTTTCATTAGCATTATATCTGTAGAGTCTCTGTATATACAATACATCCAAATTGATTGTTTTATTATTTTATAGCTGTAGATTATTCTTCTTGATCGATATCCTATTATCCTTAATTCTGCACTAAGTTGGATTCTTTTACTTTTGTTCCTTACTTTTCCAGAACTGTGTAGATCCTTGAAATATGTTGGAGAAATTACAACAAGAGATGCTGGCGGTAAAGGGCACAGGAAAGCTCCTAAGAAAGAGAGGAAAAAGTTGATGGCACACTCTAGTATCCTTGTAGGTCTTGTTTCTGTTATGGCCTTAAAATATATATTTTATGCAGTATAGAATAGACGACTCGGATGCCTGTTTGACTATTGTCACCTGCTACTGCTATTTTCGTATACAGATAGGTTGGTAAATAGTTCCCTTTATGCTACTCTTTGTACATCTTATTCGGTCTTTAGAATCTTTCCTTCTACATTGCGTCCCAATGTAGAAGTTGAGTTAAGTTTGGCTCTTATGTCTTTTCTGAGTTCTTGTTGTTTTACAGGTAGCGTTTTCCTATTATGGAGCTAATGCGCGATTACTTTTTGTTTGGTGTAGAGTATTTTGTTATCTGGATAACATCAAAAGTTTTTCTGTAGTTCTTAACCTATACCAGATCCAGTGGCACCAGTTACAGAGCAGGGCAGGTCTGTGTCTATAAATGTAGATAATGTAACTATATCAGAACCAAGGTTAGGCGGAAAACCTGGGATGTCTTCTTCCATGTACGTCCATCCAACAAGTAAGATGTTTCCTTTCCCCATTGTTCAAGACTATGCCCTTTGCTTGAATTATTTCTGTGGCTATTTATCAGATAAGGTTGTATTCTTTTTGAGGACTGCCTGTTTGGTGTTGTAACAAGTCCTTTCTTATTTGACATTTATTTATTTTCATTATGTTATGTTATTGGTTTGCATGCTGATGATGCTACCTACCAAAGGGTTGGGACCTTCACCTTCTGTTCCTTTGTTCTACTTTAAAACTAAGGCAAGTGCCCTGCTGTGGTAGCCTTGATGTTTCCATTCTTGTTGCCGCAGGCCAGTCTTGCTGCAATTTAGTACTCGGATCTTTCTTTGCAAAAGCGGTTGTGCGCTTACCTTCATATTGTGGCGTCTGTTTCATATTGCTCTATGAGTAATGAATCTCGGATAAATATCTTATTCTTTTATCACAATCTATGTGGTTCAATATTGACGCTCAGCGCTGAAGCTAAACGTCCATCAATACGCTGTTTACATGAAGCAAAAGCTGGTTTTATGTTTTGGGAATAGTGTAGCAAATGTGAATATTCGATGATTTTTTTTTTTTTGGTTCATTCACAAGGCTGCATTTCTTTTATGGTTTAGTGTTATTATCTGAACTTTTTCTGTAGTTCAGTTATTATTGGTTTCTGGACAACTTATAAGCCCTTTCCGTCTATTTAGAAATGGTGTTTCCGTGACCTTGAAGTTTGAATTTCAGCTTGATTCTCTTTTTTCCGTGCTCGTCAGGAAATTCTGCATGTGTGGATGTGTCATCTATGATGGATGGTAGAGGAGTGGTCCCTGAGAATGCAGCCAACTCACAGCGTGTATTGCCACCTCCAACAAAGCGCTCTAAACTGTATGGTCTCATACTCTTGTGATAATGAAGATCTACCTATGAATTGCAGTTCGGACTGCATTGTGGTTTTGCTACACAACATGAGTTTGTTTGTCTTGTAGCTTATCAAGCCAGGTTCCATCTCTAGCAGATGGTCCAGAGAAACCTTCAGGATTGTCAAAAGTCACAAGCTGTAGAGGTAAGGATTACCAACCACAGAAAATAGCTGTGGCCCAGATTCTTTCTAATCCGGACGTCCCCGTCTCCAAGGGTCATGGGCAAAACAATGATGGTTGCTTGTGGAAGAAAGGTGATTTTCTGTTTGTTCAAGAAGATCAGTTTACCAGCTTTGTGGAAGATTGGTCTAGTATCTATGCTTTATTTCTGTCATTGACTTCCCACTTTCTTTTTGGCAACAACTACATTAGATATTCCGGCTCCCCTTGCTACCAAAATTTACTACTCACAAAGGAGTAATCGCCTGAGGTCAGCAGTAGCATATATGTATCACCTCTCATCAAACCAAGGAGTTCTCAGCGACATGAGTCCAGATATGTCACAGAAAAGCATGCAAGTAAACACTTCGTCGCATACGGGTGAACATGCAGATGAAATCAGCAACAAGGAGGTCTGTTCTTTGGATATCATGATCATAATCACTTACAATGAAATTGAGACCAGTTAACTACTGGACTGAAATGAATGTTTATTCCTGTTTTGAGACAGGGAGCGCAGTCTGCATTTAAACCTGATCACATTCTAGGACAAATTTCAGAGGGGTCCTTGGACAAGTTTGAAGGATGTCTTCAGGATACAGATATGTCAAGTCAGTTCCCAATTAGTAATCTTCTTGGGCCTCCTCAGATGGCACCTGTTGGGATACTTGGAAGTAAATATCTTGCAAATCCTTATTCCCATGGAGGAAATTCAGGTAATGCCGTCATTCATGTTGTATTTCAAGCTGCTTGTCGGATTAGACTAAGGGGTTCTTTCATCTTTGGATTTAGGATTTGGCTCAAATATTCGAGTACAAAAATCCTCGACAAATCAGTGGCTTTCAAAAATCCACCCCTAGTTACAAGGTGTTGTGAAATTCACCCATAACAATCCACTACTAGTATTGCACATCCATACTACCAAAATTTTGAAATCCACAACCATCACAATCCACTACCTCTTTCATTCACTAATTTGCACAATCCATCACTTTTCATTCCTACATCCAAATGACCTCGAATATGATCTAGCTCCATCCACAGCCGACCTGATAGAGCTTTTGTTGTAGAATGACTGCTGTAATCACAACTTCCAGTCGTCGTGCTATATAATTGCTATCTAATTGTAAGCCTACTGCATTTTCAATACCCGATACAACTGAAACCCGGCAGTGAACAGTTAGGTTGACTGCAAGGTCATGTTTGCCTCTCATTCAACATGAAGGGAATATGAGTCTATGTAATTGAAGTTCTCTCGTGGTTTTTGTAGCGCAATCGATTGGTGGAACATTGCAGCAGCAATCAAATGGAAGCGTTCATGTTCTGTAATCCTCATGGGGATTTTGTCTGTGCAGCGGTGTATTTAATACCAGAAAGAAAGAAGGAAAAAAAAAAGGCGATAGAGAGGTTAGGACCCCAAATTTTTTCAATCTTTTGATAGTGAATACAAAGTGTGGTGGTCAGTTCTAGCCTTTTGTATTTTCACTCGGGCCTTTCTGACCTCCTTAGTCGAATTAGAAGCAGCAAAATCAAAATGTAAATCTCAGGCACTTGAATTGATACAGTTCCCCGACTCCAACGCCACAACTAGCAGTACTATTTATTACTATCCGGCTATTACTTTCTAGTGTTGCCCCTTTCTCTCCACCTCTCTTTTCGTACCGAATATTTGTTTTGCTTGTCATCTAAGTAATAAGTTTCAAGTTCTGAGTCACTAAACTGCAGGGAGAAGCTTTTTTTCTTCTTTCCAGCCATTACTGTTTTGTGAGACAAATACAGGACACAGGACCAGCCAGGCTAAAAAATGCTCGCCACCAGAAAAAGCAGTGGTTGATGGAGAACGCAGACAAGTTGCCGAGCGGGGTTCGATAGCGACGGCTCGAGTACTGGACCGCTCTCTCTCTCTCTCTCTCTCTGCCTGCGGTTGTAGGGCGAGGTTAGTGTTCTTTCCTTTACTATAGAAATGCGCTGTATTTAATATTATCGGGATCGTGAAACTTTTGTCTTTCCTTCCCAGAATCAGTCTGTTATCTGCCGTCGCGTCCTTTAGCTATTTACTGTCAGATTTCTTGCTACACCCCTTCTCATTGCCTTTTAGTGACCAGTAGCTTTCCCTGCCATATGTAGAAGCTCTCTCTCTTTGGTTTCCAAACGGGTTTGATTGTCTGGGTGGGGTAGGTATAAGCATTTTGTTTACACCTCGTCGACCGTTCGATTTGAATCGGATGGTTGTGGTGCGCGTATGAGGGGAAATGAACGTGGATGATTCGAATATGAGCTCCGCGTGCACCACACCTTTTCAATCTCAAATCGAGGATTGAGCAGGTGTAAACGCGGTGCTTATGCCTACCGCATTCGACAAAGTAACCAAATGTTACCTTGCCTGAGATATGCATGCATAACTCTTTCAATTCTAATCAGATCGAATCAAATTTCTTCATTTCGTTCGATCCAGTTATGATCCTCATACATCCTCCATTTCGTAACCAATCTCTTACTGGGTCAGTCTTCGATTCCAAACCTGAACCGAGTTGCTACCCACTCCCAACCTCCAAGCCCCAAGTCAACCATCACGTACCTACAAATATCTAACCAGCATTTTGTTTTTTTTTTTTTTTTTGTGCGAGAGTGGACACAGTGAAAGTAGGAAGAGAGCATTTTGTGGCTTTGTGGGATTCTTCACTCATCAAATATATTTTATAGGTAAGGGGTTTCCCCCCCATCGTGTCCATGTGTTTCTTCGCACAAATAAGTACATTTTTAGATATATACTCTGAACTGTTCACAGCATTCCAGAATTTCGACCAGATGAATCTTCTTCTATAAGTCGAACTTCTTCCCACTATAGAAAACACAGACTGCCCACCTACAACTCCCAACTCACAGTAGATAGATAGATAGATTAGAATAGATCAATGGGTTCTCCCTGCACTTGCGGGAACATGATTAAATGTGTCCCCAATATCATCATCCACTGCTCGTATCGAGTCCTGCCACATGGGTGATTGCCGATGCTGACCTTAGAGAGAAATTACACACAAAACCCCACATGGGAGAAGATTAGGACATATGGAGATAAGGTTTTTGACAGCTTTAGGACATATGAAGTAACAGATGATTCGTTTTTTTTTTCTCCTTCTTCCCGTTCTCCCTTTTCCTTCCCAATGAAGGAAATTCTATTCCAACTCCCATCAGATTGCTGATGAACTTAGCTAGGCGTCGGGGCTTGTTGACGATGTCGAATCATGTGTACAACAAATAATCAGTTGTTGGTGTAATGTCCAAACCTAAACCCATAAATTACATTCTGTTTGGGCGAATGTGTCTCCCCACACCGCTTCAAATCCGATTACGGAGCTTAAGACATCGTTTGCGTACAACAACTCCTGACTCCCATAGTTGTCTGATTTTGGCGTTGGGTGTGGATGAATCCTGCAAATTAGATGCTACGAGTCCGTCGAACAAACCATCAGGTGCTCATCGCGCCCAATCGAACGGACTGTAGATGCTGTATAGACGTCTTTAGGAATGGTGTTGTAAGCAATGTAGCAAGATTTCCCCTAATTAGAACCTAAAGAGTTGTAACTTCAACCAATAGGAGCAGCAGAAAGGGTGAAGAAGTGAAATGACTCAAACTCGAACGTGTGACACACACGCGGAGTTTTAAGCTAGAGTCTTGTCACAACTCTCTAGTACCATCATTACCAAAAGTCCTTTGATTATTTGGAGGTCACGTTAGCTTCTGTGTGTTAGGTGAATGGTTGAATTTTGAGGGCCTAAATTGCTTTCCAGTAGCATCATATTTTTCATCTGAGATGAGTCTAATTTTAAAAGGAATAAATCCAGATTTTGAAGAAGGAATGGCACAAATGTGTACGAGCACAAAATTACTGATGGTTATAAGCACAAAATTACTGTCGATTAAACAATCAACAGTTTCCCTTCGGTCATTCTTCTGATGCCGCTGCCACAGGGCATTGTTTGTACCTGTAAAAACTAAAAAAAGCCTCGTGCGGTTGTGGGCTCACTGGCTGGGCCCACCACTTTGGGGCAATTTCGGATATATCCTTCCTTTCTTTCGCCGTCCCTGTCCCTCTTTTTCCTCTTTTCTTTTTGCAAAGCAAATTTTCTTTCTTTTTCCTTTTTTCCAAATTGCAAATCCTGGCTTTATAGTTTATACTCGACAGCTTTGACCAAACAGGCATCCCATTAAGAATTCAATTACTTGACCCCAATGTTCAAGCTAGTTGGGACCGTCGTCGTTCATTCTTCCAACCCTAACAAAAAATTTCCCCTTGTTTTAATGGAGTCTGCCCTACTTTTCCAACCTCCATTTATTGGGGTCATTGATAAGGCAGTGTTTGTGAAACACTATCGTGTCGATAATTCGATCGAAAAAACCTGTCATCGGAGTCTAAATTGATAAGCAGTTTTTAACGCTTGAAAATGGTTGAATCACAGTTAAATCACGATTTCGACAAAATACTTTATAGCTAACTGTTTCGACACAACTTCTGATACAGATTTTATAACTTCTCTAATAAACCGCTGCCATGCGTCCCTGCCGAGCCATTAACATCACACAAAGAAGGGGGGAAATGAAAACTTGAAAAGGGATGTTTTGCATACTTTTTTCTTGTTGGAGGGAAAGAAAAAAGGTTTTGCTTGCTTTCCCCACTTCCATCACACTCAACACAAAGTGAATACTCGATTTGTGTATATCTATACTTCACTTATAGAGTAGTAGTAGTGTTCTTTTGTGTGTGTAAAGCTAGAGTAAAAGGCCCTAAAAGAAAAGGTTTCAAAGAGTTTCGTCCGTCCGGTGTTAGACTCTCCCACGATCGGAGTGCAAGTTGGTGAGGGGACTTCCCATCTTTATCTAACTCACATGGTGGCGAGGGCAAAGAGCATTGCCCAACTTTCCCCATACGAACTTAGAAGAACACAAGACCCTAAGTAAGTTACAAGAGAAGAAACCACTTATACTTTATCTACAAGAGGTGGTGAAACAAATGAACTCAAATTCTCTGCAGCCCGTAGAGTGTAGATGGATAATATCCTCCGTTCGTGCATGGAACTTATAGGTATAATATGCCCTTCTACTATGACGTTTTATCAAAGATGCCTTTCTACTATTTATTACATCAAATATGCCACTGTACTTTGAAAAAATTATCAAACATGCCCTTCTGTTGAAATTTCCATTGAAAAAATCGTCAATCGTGGTTGAACCGAGATTTAGACGACCCGACATCGGCAAATGGTAGGAAAAATGTCAGTTTTGTCCCCTGTTTTATTTCCCTAGGTCTTTTCAGAGTGAAATTATTTGAATGATTTGATTATACAAAAGAACCCAAAAAAATTCTAAAGTGAATTTATTAGGGATATTTTAGTCATTTGTGTCGCTCAAACTAAATTTTGGATTTGATTAACAGTTTTTGGATGAAAATTTTAATAAAAGGGCATGTTTGATCATTTTTACAAAGTACATGGGCATGTTTGATGTAAAAAATAGTAGAGTGGCATGTTTGATAAAGCGTCATAGTACAAGGGCATATTATGGGGCTTGCTATTTGCCGCCAACCAAATTGCTATTTGCCGCCAACCAAAAAAAAAAAGTATATATATGCATCTTTGGTTAAGGAGTTTCACAATCTACAACATATCCAACTTTCAGAGAACGTATTTAATCAGAAAAATTCAACGCTCGCCGGAAAAGTCGCCGGGAAAGTCGCCGGAAAATCATCGATGAAAAAAAATGTATATATATACATCTTTGGTTAAGGAGTTTCACAATCTACAACATATCAAACTTTCAGAGAACGTATTGAATCAGAAAAATTCAACGCTCGCCGGAAAAGTCGTCGGAAAATCATCGGGAAAGCCTATCCTCGACATATAATGCGTACACGCATCCATGAATCATCACTAACCATCAGACAATGTGGGCAAAGTGCTACACGAACCATGTGTTTCAAACCCTAAACCCTAAGTGAACCCTAAACCCTTTGTTGATGTGACTTGAATCGGACTATCAGCCGCTACGACTGGTAATCGAGGGTCTCGCTGCCCGGTCAGCGAGTGGGGTCCAGGGGCAACGCCCCGGTGGGGGTGCGGGGGCAACGCCCCCGGCCCACGGTGTATGGGCTCAATGTTATTTGGGTTCGGGTTCTGGGCCTGGTCTGTAACCGTTTCCTTTGTCATATTGGATTAGTTTAGACCCACATGGAGAAGTACTATAAATACTTCGTGTTAGTGAACTACGTAAATCGTGTGTCGTGTTGCAATGCTCTATTTATATGTTGTTGTTTTTCTAGTTGTATTTTTAATGACCCTAGTGTCATTATGAACTTATGAATTTCATTATGGATTTCTAGCGAGTTCGGGGTCGATTGGACGAAGATCGGGCGCGAGGCAAGTCAATCGTCGGTCGCCGGCACCGTTCTTCCGTCGTCGGCTAACCTCCCGTCGCCCTCAATCGTCGGAAAACAAGTAAGTTTACTTTTTTCGGCCAGTTTTCCAGTAAGTTTTCCAGTTTTCCGGCGAAAAACACGGCGGGCCGAAAAAAAATTGCGGCCCGAACGTCGCCGAGCCAAAAAAAATTTGTGGCCGGGATGACGGCCGGCCGAAAAATTCTTTCGGCCCGGCGACGCCACGGCCGCAAATTTTTTTCGGCCGGGCGACGAACACGCCGCCGGAAAATTTTTGGCCGGCGTGTTCGGCGACCGGCCGAAAAAAATTCTTTCGGCCCGACGTCGCTCCGGCCGCAAATTTTTTTCGGCCGGCCGACGAACACGCCGCCGGAAAATTTTTGGCCGGCGTGTTCGGCGACCGGCCGAAAAAAATTTGCGGCCGTGGCGTCGCCGGGCCGAAAGAATTTTTCGGCCGGCCGTCGTCCCGGCCACAAATTTTTTTCGGCTCGGCGACGTTCGGGCAGCAATTTTTTTTCGGCCCGCCGTGTTTTTCGCCGGAAAACTGGAAAACTTACTGGAAAACTGGCCGGAAAAAGTAAACTTACTTGTTTTCCGACGATTGAGGGCGACGGGAGGTTAGCCGACGACGGAAGAACGGTGCCGGCGACGGAGGCACTGGGAAGGAAGGGAAAATTCAAAATTTAAATTTTTTTTTTTTTACCGGCGACGGAGGCACTAGGAAGGAATAGAAAATTCAAATTTTGAATTCTTTTTTTTTTTTTTTAGTTGGCGGCAAATAGCAATTTGATTGGCGGCAAATAGCCGTTCACCATATTATACCTATAACCCTTCGTGCATAAACATGCATTCATCGTCACAATATATATCGTACACGTGTCTATTTTTTCGTTCACTTTTCAAATAATATAAGACTCTCTATGGATTGTAATAATTACGAGGTAGTGAAATAGATGAATCGCAAATTCTGTCTCCATACACACCAAGGACGGTGTAGAGGGATTACATCGTTCGTTCGTTTGCAAACATATGTCCATAATCATAAAATGCACATGTGCATATTTTTTTCTCACTTCTCGAATTATGAGAGTCTTTATATATTTTTGGTAACTATGCCATGTATTTGAAAAAAATGCTCCTACCCACATCGTATTGTGGCCAACACTTTTTTCGTAAACAGAGGAAAGTCATCATATTTGTTAGACAAATTCAAAATCTATCTCCATACACGACCAAAGATGATAAATGATTATATTGTTCGTTCGTTTTGCACGATTGAGATGATAAAGCACTGAGATGGAGCAAAAGCAACGCCAACCATTCGGAACACCACTATTTGAAGTATTGATGCAACAATGAATCAACAAAATATGCTCAATCAGCTCCCAACGAAACGTTATGCGTTCTTTGGAATACCTCAATTCTCCATGTCACAACAAGGAAACTATATTATTAGGGCGAAGCAAACAAACGATATAAGAGCACAAACTCCTATTAAATATGATTTATCACATAGAATCATCCAAAAAATACAGCTTATGAAAGATAAAAAAGATATGAATGAAAGTAACCCATAAATTTTATAGAAATGCGAGAAGAATTTACATTAAGAAATGGGGTTGTGTTAGAATTTGTGTATATCACGTGTAGTTCGTAAAAATATCTCATACAATCCATTGACATCGAGCTAAAATTTATTGTAAACAAGTGAATCGCAAGTAAAGTAAGTTAAAACTTTCAACATCTAATAAATCACTTTATTACGTATTAACGAGCGTTTGTTTAAATTCCAATATTGTTATACACATCCATGACCACTTTAATTGTCTGGCAAAATCCATTATTTATCCATCCAAATCCAGTCTCAATCATACCTCCCCCAAATCATCATTTCTTCTTATTGCTTGACCTAGTCACAGTTTTCTTTATTTTTCTGAAAATCATAGTCATCACTTTTCATAAAAGGCGGTTGAAATTCCAAATTAATAAAATGAAAAATACACCAGTCTCTTGACATTATTATACAGAAAAAAAATAAATAATAAAAAAAGATGCTTCGAGCATAGCTAATCCATGGTTGTTTGACATGTATGGCACAATTGTCTCATGTTTAGTTTGCATTATATATTAGGGTTCTTCGTCAAATTTATTTGTTTCTTGTTCTTTATTTTATTTATCAAAGAAGTGTGTCGATCAAAGTTGTGTCATGAATAATAAATGGATGCAATACAATCTAATATTTTTAAATGGGCGACGAGAGATTACACTAACAACGTAAAAAAACACAAAGTTAATATAGGTTTATCTATCCCTAAAAAATGGTTATACGAGAATATTTTACCACAGAATTACAAGGACAAAACATCTGACCTAAATAGAGTAGCATTTTGAACAAAAACAAACAACATACTCCTCCAAACCCCATGCAACCCTAAACCCCAAACTAAACCCCAAAGAACTTCCTATCCACTAGGTAAGCCATTTAGACATTTTACCCCGAAATAAGTGCATTATGCACTTAATATTAAGGATGCACACAATTGTGCAAAACACTCCGTCTTAACATTTTATTTTAGAGGCATGAAATACAAAGAACGTCTTTTTTGTGAAATTTTAATTTTCAGTATATGTTGGCTTTACCCTCTCTAGTATCTACAATTAACAAAACAAAAAATTCAGAGCAGCTTCAGCCTTCAAGCCTGCATTCAACACTTTGTGGGAGCTCAATCCAAAACAGGAGGATAGGGCTTTTTATTTTAAGGGTCAAAAGAACGAACGTTACATTTCATAATTTTCCCCTCCAAAGAAAATGATGTACGCAGAAAAACGCGCGCTGGCAGTAGGACCCACGTCACCAGACGGCGTCAGTTAACGGCGTCAGCACCAGATTTCCCTCATTATATAATCCCAACCTACTCCGGCCCTCCTAATCCTTCCCACTCACCTCATTCCGTTTTCTCTCTCTATCTCTCGCTCTCTCTCCAATTCCATCAAACCCCCAAAAAAAAAGATTAATTAACAAATCCCTAATTTACACTTTTAATCGCACTACTAAGTATATTTATCATCCAGATTACGCTTTCCCATTTGCTTTAGATTAAGAAAACGGGGAGGGATTATTATTCCCCCAACCCTTGCTCTGCCGTAGAAAAATGTCAGCGATTAGGAGTATAATCAGCCGGTCGCGCTCCCACCGCGTAGTCCAGGACGCCACGCCGGCAACGGCGGCGGCGGCAGCAGCGCCGAACCACGGGATGGACTCGTCGTGCTGGGCCAACATGCCGCAGGAGCTGTTGAGAGAAGTGCTGCTGCGAATCGAGGCGTCGGAGACCAGCTGGCCGCCGCGGAAGAGCGTCGTCGCCTGCGCCGGCGTTTGCCGGAGTTGGAGGCACATCACGAAGGATATAGTCCGTGTCCCTGAGCTCTCCGGCAAGCTCACCTTCCCTCTTTCACTCAAACAGGTAACAACTCGCTAGATCCCGCTGCTTCTCTCTCTATCGCACTAGATTCAGTCATCGGCTAGGTGGAGTGTTTAGGTTTTTCAGATGCGCCGATTCGGCGGAATTGTCTATGATTAGATGCGTTATTTTTCAGCGGAAGTGTACAGGATCTGGTGTAGATTTGACCTACGAGTAGTTGAATTGCTATCTGTGATTCTCAATTCAGTCTTGCGATGAGCACTGAATTTTCCACCTCCGTGGAGAAGTTTTCTAGGTCAAGCCTGTGCCAAATTTTGATTCGATTTCAGCGAAGAAAAAAAAAAACGTCAGTTGGTTTGCAGTTTTTTTTTCCAACAAAGGCCGTTTCGTTTCGGATAAGCATGGAATCGGTGGAGGCTTATCTCTACAGAGAGATGCCGGGGGGGGGGGGGGGGGGGGGGGGGGGGGGGGGGGAGATTTTCTGTGGGCAAACAGTGATGTGATATTTGTCTGTCTGCTTTAAGCCATGTGGCGTGTCTGTTGGTTTAAACTTTAGCTTATTGCGGATAAATTTTCATGGATTGGAGTCGTCTAAACGTTTCCGCTGTTGTACCAAATCTACTGTGTTCTTGGTTTCGACGGGACTTTTGATTTCCAAAACACGACAATTTTACTATCATTGTGAAAGCTTCCCACTGGCAACTGCTGGATCTCACCAATTATAGAAAGTAGTGGGGCGCCCTTTCAGGCCAGCTTTTATTCCTTTCTCTGTTTTGTTTCCACTACTGGAGCTCGTCCACAGTGAGCCGTTTGTTGGATTCATAGCTTGTGCTTTACGATTCTATGATTATAGCAGATATTTGTAGACCCGAAGGCGTGTATGAACTAATGGGTCGCTAGGTATGTCATCTCACCATGTGGGTTTTGGTGTGATAATGATGTTGATTCGATCTTCAACTCTAGATGAGAGGGATGACTGTGTTTTGAATCGTCCTAAGATAGAGTCACACTGTATAAGTATGCACTCTTTAGTTAAAAAGAGTTATGACACTTGGACTCATATCCATTATGACTAAGTAGATGGATAAGATAAAATGACGGCCAAAGCTCTTGGTGTATGGACTTGAAGCCTTGTAGTTGCAATTGTGTTGATGTCCTCATCAATGTATTGCTAATGGGATTCTTCATACACTTTTTCTCATTCTGTGTCTTTTGTTTTTGCAGCCTGGTCCAAGGGATATTCTCGTTCAGTGCTTTATAAAGAGATGCCGGACCACTCAGACGTATTACCTTTACCTCAGTTTGACCAGTGGTGAGAAATTGTTGCCTGGCTTTCCAAATGTATCAATTGTAATTGCTCTGCAGACTGCTATGGTTTCTTTGTGGGTGCAACCTTTAAGAGGGATAGGGTTGTGATTTTTTGTTTCTTGTTTTGGTTTTTACAGCGCTAGCCGATGATGGGAAGTTCCTACTTGCTGCACGCAAGAGCAGGCGGGCCACCTGCACGGATTACATCATCTCTCTTGATGCTGATGATATGTCGAAGGCTAGCACTACATATGTTGGCAAACTCAGGTGTGATATTCACACGAATGGAAGCTCTTTGGTCTTGCAGTTTATTCTGTTGGGATGTTAATAAAGTTATTGTCTTGGTTTTTTTTTCTTTTCCTACCAGATCAAATTTTCTGGGGACCAGATTCACAGTCTTGGACGGCCTTCCACCGCATGCTGGGGCCAAGCTGGTTAGAAGTCGTTCCACTAGACCAATAAGTCTGAAACAAGTTTCCCCGAGAGTCCCTGCTGGCAATTATCCAGTGGCTCACATCTCATATGAATTGAACATGTTGGGTTCCAGGTAAGCATTTGCAACCATTTTGGCATTTGATTGGGGGAGAGTAGGATAATGGTTTTTGGTTAAACCCAAAACCAAAACCAAATTTCATGGATTTTGGTTAAACCCAAACCGAGTTTATGGTTTTGGTATTGTCTTGAGTTGTTGATTTTGGGAACTTTTAGTTTTGGTTAAGGACAATACAAGCGGGATCAACCAAATTAATGGAAGCCGAAAGGCCTTACCTGCTGATGAAATTTACTACTAAATTACTAATGAAATACTGGAATATACTTGGCTTATTGCTGAAACTTGTCATGACTTGAGGAATTCTAACCTCATGTTAAATATCTCTGATGGTTTAGAGAATTGTCTGTCTCATTTTGTTCATTTAAAAAAAAAGTCATGAGCACTTTGAAGGAAGCTTGGTTCTAATTTTGGTTAACAGAAACTGGAATATGGGTTTTAGTTTTGGTTAGCCAATGTTATATTTTGGCTTGGCTTCAGTTTCGGTTGCAGAAATACATGTTTTTTACTTTGTTTAACGGAAATTGTGTTCTATGATTTTATGCAGAGGTCCACGGAGAATGCACTGTGTTATGGATGGGATACCTGCTTCTTCCGTTGAACCAGGCGGCATAGCTCCAACACAAACTGAATTTGGCCATCGAAAGCTTGATGCTTCCACATCTTTCTCATTTCTCCGGTCCAAATCAAATCTCACAGGAGAATCGGAACCCACATCTGGTCCGAAGAAAGCGGGTTTAGTACTGAAGAACAAGTCACCAAGGTGGCATGAACATCTACAATGTTGGTGCTTGAACTTCCATGGGCGAGTGACAGTCGCATCAGTGAAAAACTTCCAGCTTGTTGCTTCATCAGAAAATGGAGTGGCTGGACCGGAACATGAGAAGATCATTCTGCAGTTTGGGAAAGTGGGGAAGGATTTGTTCACCATGGATTACCGGTATCCGATATCTGCGTTCCAAGCTTTTGCGATTTGTCTCAGTAGCTTCGACACCAAGATAGCTTGCGAGTAAAAGAATCACGCATCCGCGTGACTGTTTGAGGTATGTTTCAACTGACAACCTCCTGATTTATGCAGATTCTGGATTAGTACAGACTGAACAAAGAAACTTAGAACTGATAATCATCCCATGGGGTCATTAGTTTCTTAAATTATTGTATAATGTGTTGTTAACAGTCATTCTGAATAAAAAAAATTAATGTGTTTTAACTTTCCTTTTATGCAGTTGGGAGGCGAAAGGTTGCCAATCTGGTGCAACGATGCAAGCTATCAGCTCAGAGGGAGCAAACAATCTAGCAGGGCATAGAAATGGCGCTGTCTCAGTACAAGCTTCGGATATTTGAATCTTCACCTCAACTCATCCCTGTTTCAAAACGGAAGTTCTTCAGGGTTTAGATTATTTGGAATTGTAATAAATAAATAAATAAAAATAGCGTTATTATGTATAGTTTGGTAGTCTGCCTGTGTACATGAGAGTTTCCCGAAGCTTCCGTACCTCCTCTTCTTACATTTGTGTTAGCTGTTCCTCTTTTCCATTCTGTAACTTTCTCCGAGTGAACTGCAATACAGAGGAGAATAACTTGTCGAAGGATTTGCCTTTGCCGAATACCATTGGCGGCTTCGACACCATGGAGGGAAGCGATGGAGATATTTGGAGCAAAATGAGTAGCAATGTCATCGCCTCAAGTTGTTCATTCTAGTTTCGAGTTGTTCACTCTAGTTTGTAACGTGTTGATACCAAATTACCATTGCAGAGGCTCAATTCGATAGTTAAGTACGATTGAAAATGGTGATCAAACCTTGTTTACGTAATAGTGTTAGCATATCTTTCACTCAAGAATGTGGTTTTTCTTAAGGACCGATACTGACTAAGCCAGTCTTTTCACTTGTCTCTCTCTCGAACTCGAAAGTGGCATTTGCATGAGTTAAGAGGCCTCATCGACAGAGCTACGGCTTAGCATATTCCTCATTGCACTATGCTTAGAATCGACAGAACAATACTCCGAGGAGGCCGATTACTCCCAGTTATCAACGATTACTTATGGATTCACTTCGACATTTTGACTGATACAGAGAGTACAGTACACCAATGCGAAGTTGAACTTGAATCATTTCAAGTTTAATTCAAACAGCTCCGTATTGCTCTATTCCGTGGCTCTCAAACACATACATTTGTTGTTGCATTTGATTACAAGTAATAATAATCAGAAGGGTGCAGCGTCCAAACTTTCAGACTCACCCAGACATATATATTTATACAGTTTAACATGCAACAGCTCTCAGTCTCTTCCACCCTTAGGCCGTTTGCATCTCGGCACTCGGTGATGAAGAAGCCTCCACCGGAACAGATTCTTCCGCCTCCACTGGAACAGTTTCTTCCGCCAGAAGGTCATCCGAATGCAGCTCGGCGAAATGCTGGTTCAGCCCCCGAGCAAACTGGGTGAAAGACGAGAAATGCTCCGGCGAGAAGAACTCTGCTCCCATCCTCTGATAAGTAAACAGATCCACCACGTTATTCTCATCCCCAGTTACATTCTTCCTTATCCTGTCCAACCCATTCGAACCAACCCTAGAGTTCATTCCGGAGACCCCAACTCCATGCCTCTTGCACGCTGCACGAATCTGCTTCAACAACATCTCGGGGCTAGACATTGTCTGCTCGGGCTGCTGATCGTCCGATAAGTCCATTCCGGGAACGATCATTCCGCTGGAGTTACGAGCAAACATCTGAGCAAATGCTTCGTATGCGTCTTTCCCATCCGTGCTGTAGAACCCAGCCGTGTTCTCAAGTGCACGTGACCGGGTTTTGAACCAGGAGTGCATCAGAGGGACTCTGCCGTGAGTTGCCACCCCAGTGTTTGTATAGACGTCGGAGGCCATGGAGAGGAGGCGATCACCGTGGGAGAGCAGCTGGCTGGAGTACCACGAGAGGAAGAATTCTCCGTAGGGGGTCTTCCATGATCCGGAGTGTTCGTTGAAGAAAGGGTTGGAGTCAGGGGACTGGTTGTAAGTCGGAGCATCGTGTGGGCCTGCCAGACCCCATAAGGGATTGCCGAGGGATGCTGCATGTTGCTTTAGGTGGTTCATCATGTTTTCATCGTAGCATTGGAACTCTCCAACTCCAGGGATGCTGTTGTTGGAATGTTGGTGGTGAGATGGGTATCGAAGCTCGCCATCTGGTCCCAGCCCGATTGTTACTCCCTGGAAATGATTCAAATATCACCATGAATAAAAGATATTGCAGCCGTGGAACAAACGATCATAAGGTCCGTTCAGTCATTCGAGTATATTGAAAGAGTTAGACAGATAATGTTATTGTCTCTACTGCATATGATTCATAAGATAGGATGCATTTCCAGAATCCAGGAGTATTTTAGAAACTACAGGACTCATCCTAAGATTTTCAGGACATAACACCATTGACCATACAATATTATCAACTTCAATACTAATCTATATTTAGACAAAACACACATTGTAAATTACACATCCATGAATTGTCGAAATCCATTGACTCTAGTTAATTCCCAGGCAATCCAAGCAGCATCATATATTCATCGAAGGAAGCAGGAAATCTCATTTACCGTGATAGTGGAACCCAAGAAGTGGGCAAATGAAGACCTGAAGCTCTCGCAGAAACCCTTGTAAACTTGAAGAGGAGTCTTGCCATCAAGAACAGGAAGATCATCCACTGCCAACGACAAGCAATCCTCATAGGCTTTCCCAGATCGATCAGTATAAAAGATGCTGGGATTCAATCCACCGATCTTCGAAACCCATCGCGGAAGCGAGACCTTATGCTGCCTATCTCCATGGAAGCAGAGCGACACGTGAAGCTTCAACCCTGCATTTTGTACCATTTCTGCAACGGCAAGGTACCCTGACCATTCATACTCCCCCATTCCTTCCTTCTCCACCAGCCCCCACCACACCGGAAGCTCCACACCTTCTACCCCCAACAATTTCAGAGCTTTGAGACCTGCTGTTATGGCTCTCGCATGGTTTACACTGTGGCAATCAGAGACCACATCCAACGGCAACCCAACAAATAACCTTACTCTATCAATCTGCAGACAACACAAAAACAACACCAGAACAAAAACGAATCAAAACCCACTGCTGCAAATCATCAAACACCTTCAGTGCATGATCCATGAAGATCAAAACCACCCATTCAGAAATCAGAAAGAAAATTTTGAGTTTTGTTTCTTACGGAATTGGGTCTTTTGGCGGGCTCATGAACCGGAAAGCTATCGGACCGGACGGGTTCGGATTGGCCGGAGGCGGTGAGGGTAAGCTGCAGGCGAGAATTCCTGCATCTCCGGCGGGAATTTCGATCGAAGAAGTTGAGAGCGTCTCCGTTTCTTTTGGGGACGCAAAATCTCAGCTCCCTCACCAACTCCCCGCCGCCGCAGAACGTCCCCTGAGAAGTGCCGATCACCGAGAGCTCCATTTTTGCCCGGATCCGAAGCTTTCAAAATGTAAACCCGCGAAAGAAAAAACGGAACTTTCAGAAACCCAGAAGAAAGAAATATGAATCGGGTTAGAAAAAGATCAACTGGGGATGTCGCAAATCCAGCGATCGGACAAAGCTATAAAAGGAGGCGAAATTTGGCCGGAAGGTTAGGAAGTGTTAGGATTTAGGATCGAATCTAATGACGAAGGAGAATCGGAGAAAATAGCGGAAATTGATTGGATATTCTTGTTAACTAATTACGGGAATTGGATAATTGGATTAACAAAAGAGAGAGAGAGAGAGAGAGAGAGAGAGAGAGAGAGAGAGAGAGAGAGAGAGAGCGGCGGAGAAATATTTGTGTCGACGGCGGATAATGGGGGGCGGTGGTGGCTGGCTGCCGGGCGTTACGTTATATAGAGCCTTTTTGAGAGACGAACGAAAAATGGTATCCACGTGTCGTTCTGTCAGTCTTCCAAATTTGAACCGCATAAATGTAAAAAAAAAAAAACAAATTAGCACCAATTATATTTCTGTCTTTTTACAGTTAAGGGGTTGTTTTGAAGTTGCGATTGTTTTGTTGAGATTGTCATTATGCATGTATTGTTTACAATACATCGTTTTTTTAGCATAAACAATACATGAATTGTTTTTGTGATGTGACAGAAACTATCACTCATTTTGAGTGATTGTTATATCTCAACTTTTAGTTGTGATTGTTGAGATAGTTGAGTTGATATTATTTTGTCTCAACTTTTAGCTAATGCGACATACACAATCACACATACCAAACGTTGTATTCTACAATGCATCAAATTCGACAATACATGTATAATATTATACATGCATTCTCAACAATACATCTATTTAACAATCGCAACTTCCAAACGAACCCTAAATTAACGTCCTAATTTCTTCTTCTTTTTAAACACTTAGGTGTCGTTTGAAAGTTGTGAGGACAAATATGACATTTTCCAAACGAACCCTAAATTGAGCACCTTTACTTTTTTCAATTATGTCCATAGTTCTTTTTGTTTTATGTTAAAAGTGGAGGACAAATATAACATTTTCTTATAAAGTAACTTTATAACAATCAATTCATAAATTATATTCTCAACAACCAAACAATGTAATTTCAAAATGCATCTATTGTATCAATGCATGCATTTTATATGATAGTGATTCATAACAGTACAACGAGTTAATTTACGCAATTTTCAAACCAACCATTAGAAGCTTGAAGGAAAGCGAGTTATAAAAATCAGTAATTTCTTGGGAGACATTTCACACAGCCTAATTAATCATCATCATTATCATCTTAATTTTCTTAGGTGAAGATCGAGCGCTCAGCACGTTATTTGTGGGAGAAAAAAAAAATGTCATTGCGTTGATATAATGATTAAAAACATGTCGAAAATTCAACAAACGACATTATCTTGCAATGCGCTGAACTCTCCCACGAAATGAGTGAATACAATAAGGGGTCGTTTGGAAGTTAGGAGTCTAAATGAGTGATTCTGTGAACGTGTGTATTCTTTACAATCTATCGTTCTTTTGACATAAACTTATCTAGAATGCATGCATTTGATTGGTACTTTAGAATCTCAACTGGCTAGAATTATTCATTTTAGAATCTCTACAAAAAGGTGAGATTCTCTTGCTTTACTTTTGTAATTGCTTTTTTGCACCTCTTATCCTTATTATTTTTTTATATATTTCATATTTGCCCCTTCTTTAATTGACTATATAAAGAGAACTTTAAGGTTATATAAGTCTTTTTGGTCATTAAAGTGAGAATCCTTATATTCTTTAAAAGTGAGAATCAAAACTAACAAACAACATATTCTTACAATCATCTATTTCTTACAATCACTACACTTAGAATACATACATTGTAAGAATACACATATTTATAGACTCCCAACTTCCAAACGACTCCTAATATACTTATCCTCTTGCTATAAGGATTATTGGGTTGGGTGGTGACTGTTCTCCCCACGGATACATTGAATCTGCATAATAATATTGATTTCCATATTTGCTCTGCTCACAGTGGTTAACTGTAAAAATATAATCCAGATAGAAGGGGGAAAAAATAGACAAATGATCAAATGGATATGAAAAAAAAGGAAATTAAATACTTGTGCTAGATATTCATTGAACAAATCACCATAAAGACTATCAATAAATAAATAATAATCGTTTATAAATAATAAAGAATGGTGGTGGAATATTATTTTTAAGAGCTCACTGTCACTGTACTAAAACAAACTAATGGGACCTCGTAGAATTAATGTATAGATAATTTAATTAATTAATTATTGGTGGAATATTATATAAGGAAGGCAAATGGGCCATCGGATGAGTCATGGCCCAAACGACGACAGCTGAGCAAGGTAATGATGAAATGGGTAATAAATCCAATAATTGTACTGGGTACAGGACACGTGGCGGCGATCTTAGTGGCGGGAGTTGCGGCAAGCTGAGTCAGCTCCAGCCCGGATTTTGGGCCATGCAAAAATATCATGGCCCTGACAAGTCCACCCGATTCTGTGGCCGTGCCAATTGCCAAACCCGCAGCAAAAGGCCCACAAGTTTTTTCCATTTAGTACTGTTTTGGGATTTTTGTGGATAAGAAATGTCAGTGCGTGAACTGTGAAATCGGTAAACGGCATATCCCTTTGCAGATGATTTAGGGGTTGTTTGGAAGTTGCGAATGTTAAATCATTGCATTGTAATGAATCATCATAATATAAAGGCAAAATACATCTGTATAGCCATAACTTTCACACTTGTGACAAATATAGCCATTACTATTCGAAAACCACAAATAGCCCAAAAAACGAAGGGTACTGTGACAAATCTAGCCAAAAACGTTAGAAACTTTAACACAGTCTGCGGTTCCGTTAAATCGTTTGACGGAACGCTGACGAGGACGCCATCCGACCTCCACATGATTAACACTTCAGCAAAATGCACACGTGGAATGCCACGTGTAGAATAAAAAAATGTTGGTCAAACAATTAGTCCATAAAAAATGTAAGATAAAAAATAAAAATAAATTAAATAAATATTTTTTATTTTCTCTCTTCCATCTCTCTTCTTCCCAATCCCTTCCGGCCAAAACTCTCTGTTCTTCAAACTGTCTCGATTCTTCCATCACCACTGGATTCTTGCCGGAGCTCTTCTCCCTCTCCTTCTACTCTCTCCACCTCGCGCCACTCACCCTGCCGACACTGCTTCTTCCTCCCAAATCTCCACTCCAACAACATTCTAGATTCAAAATGCACCCAACCCCCAAACCAAGATCCTTGACAAGACGATTTCAGATCTAGCGGATGGAGCTCACTGACCAGACGACGACCAACTGCTCTCGTCGTCATTAGATTGGTATTGAAGCTGTTGCTGCTTCTCGGCGGAAGGAAGGGTTGGAGGAAGGCGACGACGGCGGCAGGAGAGTGGGTGAGGTAAATTTCAGAGGTGGGTTCGGCGACTGCTAGATGGACGGGTGATTGGGTTTTTCTGGGTTTTTTCTTGTCATTATTGCGCACCGGCATCGACCCGGCGGAGTATTTTTGGCAGAAGAAGCAGCGCGCCTTCCGGTTCTTGCGCCATTAGGAAGACAGTCTCGATTGTACCGCATGGTTGGAGGGCGGCGGGAAGCGGAGATCTAGGGTTTTGGACGAGCAGTGATAAAGGCAGTGACGGTGGGTGGTATAGATCTAGGGGGAGATTTACCTATTAGTGGTGTAGAAGATGGCGGCAAAGACGGCGATTCCGGCCACGGCAGTGACGGCTACAACAGCAGCAGGTGAGGAAGCAGAGTGGGAACCACCCGCCGTCGTCAACGCCCAGGGGTTCTGCAATTTCGGCTCAGTTCCAGATCGGGTTCTTCGTCCTGGTTTGATGAAATCCGTTTCGTTTCTCACCACCGACCAGCCCTCTGTAGATGAACAAGCAGGTTGCTGCTCTTTGCCTCTGTTTTGATCGGCGAGAAAAACAGAGAGGGTGGTGATATATCTCTGCGTCCCTCACTCTCGTCGACCTCGAAATCCTTCAGCGCAGCAGTACCTCTGCCGAGAAGAAACAAGCAGGTTGCTTGACCTTCTCCCCCATCTCATCGTGCTTTTGACTGGCTTCCGATTAGTTTATCCTTCTTTGTGCTTACCGCTGCTTCCGATTCGTTTCCAATTTCGGCGGCGACTGGTGAGGAGATGAAGAATTGGCCCCGAATTTGGGGTCTCCAAGAACCTAAATGAGCATTTTGATTGTTTGAGTTTTTTTGCTTTTTTTTAACCCACATGGACTTTAACTGACGAAATGTCGCCAGGTCAGCATTTCCGTCAGTCTAGTCAGATGGTTAAGTAACACCGTTAAAATGATGGACGGAATTGGCTATTTTGGGTTTTCGAATAGTTCTGGCTATATTTGTCAAAATCGTGAAACTTATGGCTATACAAGTGTATTTTGCCTAATATAAATGTATGTATTAATATAATGGATACATTTTAGTAATACATTGTTTGGTTGTTGAAATTCTACTTTATAAATTGATTTACATAAAGTTACTTTTATGGGGAAATGTCATATTTACCCTCAACTTTTAGTATAAGACAAAAACTATTAGGGATATAAATGAAAAGAAAAGTTGACACAAATCTAAAAGCAACAATCACAACAATCTCAACTTTTAGTTGAAATTGTGGGTAAAATACCTCGGGTGCCACTTATGTTTGAGAATTGGGATCGTCATACCACTTAAGTTTGAATAGGGCGTCGGGTACCACTGAACTCTATTATATGTGCACCCGATACCACTTAAGTTTACTCATAAGTGCATTCCGTTAAAATTGAGAGAATATTCTTGGAATATTCTGTTTTCTAAATTTCATAATTGGTCCTTCTACTTTTTTATTGTAAAAAAATCATTTGGACTTATGAAAAACATCATTTTTTATTAGTTAGTTAGAATTATCTTTTGAATACTTGATACCAAACCAATTTTTGAATAGAAAATTTAGAATCAATTATCATTATAATTATTTTCAATGACCATTATGTGTTCTAATAATTTAATTCTTCCATGCATGTTGTAACTAAACAATGTTGCAGCTTTTATAGTCATATTTCTTTTCTATATTTTTTACCGAATGTCGTAGCTTTTATATTTTATTTATTACTTGGTTACTTTCCATTTCTTTTCGTTCTAAATTTTTTCAATTAGTGGAATATGCTTAATTCTTTCTTATTGTGTTCCAGTTATCCTTCTTTGATTTTGATGTATTGATAATCGATTAGGTTCTATTTTAATTATTTCTAATGGTGCTTCTAATTGAATTAGGGGTTTAAATGGATATTATAATATTAATTTAAATATTTATTAGTATATTCTAGTATATTTATTATTCTTCTTGATATTTATTTACTATTTTTACTAGTTTATCTATTTTACTAAAAAAATTTGATTAATCATTCTAGTAATAATATGTTTAGAAGGTTTTCTAATTATTATATTAGATAAAACTTGTTGAAATATAGTTATGGATGTTTTTAAAATTTTTGGTTATCAAAAAGTAATTGAAATTTTGGGTTGGATGGAAAAGTAGACGGATGCACATTTTGACGACTTTAATGGTAACCGACGCCCTATTCAAACTTAAGTGGTATGTCTACACCAATTCTCAAACTTAAGTGGTAACCGAGGTATTTTACCCTGAAATTGTATAATGCATCATTTTTTGTGATTGTTGGTGGGACCTACCTAAAACAATGCATGCATTGTTTTACACTTTGGCACTTCCAAACATTGTATTATGCACAATACATGTATTAAACAAACACAATTCTAATAATCACAACTTCCAAACGACGCCTTAATTGTTTTTTTATCGGATGACAATCAAACTCATGATTGTGATTTGTGAATATCTAACTGTCTCCGATTTAATCAACATGGATAAAATTATTTTGATGGATTAGGTGCCGACGCTCCAAATTTAGAGCTATGGAGGGACAATCCAATTAATCTATTCAGTAATCACCAGTGTTCTCTAATATTGGATGAACATTTACCTCTTTTTAGTTGATGTACCAAAGGAAGTAGAAGCGATCTGCAATGATTTTTTAGGAGGGTTTGGGAGAATTGTGGAAAGGCTCTTGTTGCTTAGAAATTTTGTTGTGATGATGAAATCTGAGGGAGGTTTGGGAATAAAGGATTTCAGAGTATGGAATAAAGCTTGTGTTATTAGGTATTTGTTGGATATTTTGGTGGAAAGTGGATCTCTATGGATTGCACCGGTGAGAAAGTACAAGGTTAAGAACTTTATATATTTGTTTACAAATGTCTAATGTTACAAACTGATTATATCTTTAATGTTACGATATAAATCCTCCTACCACTTATATATGGAGGTTCTTCACCAGAACACTCTCCATTCAGAATTTCTAGCTTTCTGAGTGATTCTAGGAAAGATAGTATTGTAATTTTAATTAAAAACAAAAAAATTAGATTATTTGTCGAGGATACAAATTTAAACTCTACCCTAATAATCGGCTGACAAAAAGACATATTTTTTATTTAGTTATACACGAGACTATTAGCTTTTTTGTTTTAATATAAAGGTTAAGTGTTTTATTCAAAATCAAATTCTTTTTAATTAGTCAACGGTTTATAGACTAGACAATTTAGGATTAGCTATTTTTGGTTATAAGGGTTAAGTATTTTATTCAATATCAAAAAAATTTTAATTATCACTTGATTTTTAGGGTTTTTAGTGACCGAATTGAAAATTGCTTCTTTCTGTTTGGCATGCATCTTTCTCCTATTAAATTTAATGGAATAGTTGTTTCATTTTAAATTAAAAATAATTTTTCATTTGAAATTTAGATTAATTGTTCTCTTCGGAATGATATTAACTTTTATATATTTTGGACAAAAAATATTTTCTACAGCATGGCGGTAATACTTATAAGTACATAAAGTTATATCATTGTGATATGGAAGTGTATGATGGTGGTATAAATAAATTTTAGTGTAGAATTGTTGTATTTGTGATACTAGAAATATGTTAAACAACATTTATCACCTTTTACTATCATCTTCCATCACTTACCACCTTATAAAGGGTGGTATATAAACTGTCCTATAAAGTTTTTTTTCATAATTTTGTAGATCACAATAGATCATGATGAACCGTTCCTTCTGTGAAAACTTTTTTAAGATTTGAATTAAAATGAAGGTGGTGCTGAATGCTGTGAAAAAGTCTAAAAAAATATATCTTAAAAATATAATTTTGGAGGTCACAATAAACCCGTCTTATATGTGTAAAAAAACTTACAATCCCAGTTAAAAACAAAGAAGATACAAATCAGTTAAAAAAAGTAAAATAAAGAATTTGAACTTAATTCAACATCAAAATCATATATTAAAATAAGGTAAACCATAAGAGAGTACACAATTTTGAAGATAAGAGGAATGAGCAAATATGGGACAATGTTCAAGACTTGGACGACGTAAATTTTACTTGCGTGGAAATGATATTTCATATTTAGAAATATTTTATCATTAAATTTTTGCATGAGTATTTTTATACTTTCTTCTATATATATTCTTTTCTTATGTTTCTAATAATTGAATAATGTTTTGATTATTTTTTAATACCAAATGTATCTTGCTTCCAACAATACAATTGTTGTTTAAACCATTTACAAAATGCATCCGGCCAATGGGGTTCAAATCTAGTTCAGATTGTGACTATACACAATAGATTCCAAAAAGAGTACTGGTAAATGAATTGATGGGTCAATGCTTGCGGGCTTTATTTATATTATAGTTACACAATTTAACCTAAAACAAGACGACGAACAGTTAAAAATATATCATTGAGCAATGCCGTAACGTGCACAACTGGGTTCCATTGCTTCAAAGCCACAGCATCCAATGTTAAGAGTTCAAGCAACTTCAAAACCTTTGAGTTGAGTCAGTTGACCTCAAACCGCAATGCAAAATCCAAGGAGAAGCCGCCGATCGAGAGATAAGATTATGAGAAGGATTAGTCCGATTTAATTTATGTAGTCTATTTGAACTGAGTAATATTTATCTTATATATAGGAATGACAATGGGACAGATTTTGGTGGGTTTCTCTAAATCATATTTATTTTCATGTTCAAATACTCAAATTCATATTCGTCACATACCAATGCGGGAGGAGATTTTGCATCTCAATCTCCCATATCCAACACTACTATATCTAAAATTCAACATGTAGATCTTTAATTATAACACTAAATGGATCTAACCAACTCTTTATTTCGGTAATCCCAGTGACCAAAATTGCAATTTCCCATCTTTTATATATGAAGAAATATTCTCAGTGAGACGAGTAAGAATATAGGGGTATACTCGTATGGAGAGGCGGGGAGAATAAAACCATACATGGCACATCCCATCAAATTTTTTACAGGTTTTACCCATATCTGTCCAATACCTAGACAACGCGAAGATTCCCTGCTTTTACTGAGTCGCGGGCGATAGGGTACTCACCATCATGAGTTTGATTGACATCCGTACTCACACATAGCGTATGATCGGACACGTGTACTACTTCCTCTCGACTTTTCGTTCTCTATTTGTGTTATTTTTATTTTCCCTAAGATTTACTAGTATTTATCTTCTTGATCTTTTCTTAAATTGTATGTTAACATCTCATTGAAATAATAGTTTGATGTGAAAAATAAATTAAAAACAAATCAACCTGTCTCGACTCTCGATCCACAAATATTACCTTGCTAAGAGGCCAGCTAGGCCCGCTTAAAAGTCCAAACGAATATACCGGTCTGGGCTCAACTGATGCAGGTCCACTGGATCTGGCCCCAAAATGGTTTATTCAAACTTAAGATTCACTTTTTTTTACACTGGATTCAAGATGAACATGATCTCTCAGAACAATTAAGCTCATTTGAGTATATGCCTTCTAAAGAATAAACACAAAAAATGAAGAGGAAGCAACATTTGCTATATAAAAACGTAAGGAGACATGATAATTCGACGAAATATTGTAGGAAAATTAAGCACAGCAAAATGGGGCTGCGAATTTCGTCATCTAAATCCCTATTCGAAACCAATTGGAATTGAAAGACCTAGAACGCAACACATCGAGAATCGATTATATAAAACATTAACATAGCGAGAAGCAAAAGGAACCAGAGATGCCCTAACATAGCGAGAACCAAAAGGAACCAGAGATGCCCTAAACTGTCGAGGTACAACACCACTGACCCTCAGACGATTAGCCAGCACTGTAAACAATTGACTATACATATTACATGGCCATATTAACACCTTCCTCTCCACTGACCATCTAAAATTCTAAATGCACAGCTTCAACAAAAATGAGGAAACAACTTGATAATGGAACAACAAGAGAACAGCATATACATAATACAATACTTAGAAGTATTTTCATAATACAAAAATTTAATGGAAAATAGCTTACAAATGCAAATGAAGAAGGGGGAAGGAAGCTTTTGAAATGAAAAGAATGTTAAAAGATACATACTTTTTTTTATACCTCTCCTCTGCAATTTCAACAATCTTTTTTTTTTTGTTCCCGGGGAAGCCATTGAACTGAAACTTGAACAAGTTGTCAGTTCTTATCAGCTGCTGCTTTTTGTTGTAGTAGACCAACCCACCCAAATGAACCCAGTTTCTGTATCCATATATATATTACATGATCTCTTTGTCCTTAACACGAGCAGAGTTTCGATCCTTCTGCTTCCTCCGCTTAGGAGCACCAGTACCGTCAACCAACGGGCCTGACCAGGTCTGGATGTGGGTTTTCGGGTACGAGAAATTCGTGGAACTGAACGGAACCTCAGGGGGATCGTACGAGGTATCGATGTGGTGGGAAGACCCCAGGGTATAGCCCAGCGTTCCATCTTGGTGCGGAGGTGGAAACTTCTCGCTCTTGCTCTTTGCATTCGCATGTGTAATCATCCGCCGCCTCTGCAAGTACAGAACAAATGAGCATAAATAATCACTCGGTTGGAACTAAAACGGAGAGACTGAGAGAGTGGCTTTATTTGACATACATCGAGATTGGCTTGAAGCTCGGCATTTGCTTCTGGGGCAGGAATTGCTCTCATAGAAGCTCGATCACGAGGACGTGATGACCTCTTCACAACGTCGGCACTAGCCTTTCCAGCTCTCAACCTACAAAACAAAAGTAGCATAAATAAATATAAAAGGTAAAGCAGGAGAGCCATGGAGGTCTGCCATTTTGGTTCATGAGCTTTCCATCTAAGCTGAGTGCTAAAGTTAGCAGAGTGGTGGTAGAGCAATGATTAGGGAAAGAGGGAAACAAAACAATGAGGGCTTGAGAGTTGAGACCCACCTTCTAGCCTCTTCATCACGTAGTTTAGCATCCATCTCCTTTGTGGGAGGGTACTTTGGAAGACTGGAAGGATCACAGGCATATGGCTTGGTAGTGAAGAACTGCAAATGAATCGAACAACAAGACAGTAGACCATAACCTTAGAAAATTCCAAGTATGAATGATAATGCTGTATTTGGACTAAGGAGAACTCTGAAAGCAACCAGTCAAGGAGCATACATCGGAAAGCAAACAATCTCAGTACAAATGTGGTACAGCTATGGATTGCATACAGCTATAAATGACCTAAAACTGCATCCCTGACCAGGATTCAAAACAATTTGTTGGCATGCCCTACCACCCAGATTAATAGACTAGCTTAGCTAGGCATGTGAACGAATGATGGTTAAGAAACCACACAGCAAGCCTGGAAGGATACATGAGCAAAGCATTCAGGTAAATGAAGTCCAAATCCTAAGGTCACATGATCTCTGAGACCAAAACAAAGTCAACAAGGTCAATGCTAAAGACATGAAACAGCCACTTATAGAGCGAGAAGTAAAAAGGAGGAGCCCAGACCCAGGGAGTATTTAAACAGCTCAACAATGAAAAGTGATACTCAAGGCAGGAGGATAAGTGATCTAGTTATAAACTTGAACAGATTCAACAGAGCAGATTGCAGTCTATATGGAAACAGAAGACGAGAGATGCATACTGCTACAGAAACAAACATATCCCAACTCACTTCACTATGTAATGCAGCAGTAGCATGTTGGCGTTCGGCAGGATCAATTGCGAGTAGCGTTTCGATCAATGGCAGAGAAGATGGAGGGAAGTCTTTGAAGGTCTCTGCTATGCACCGCTTGTATGCCTGTTGAGGTTTGAATATAGTAGCATGTGGCAGCTTCGACTTTTTCCAGTAGTCTTCAGAAGGAGAGCCACACAATTTAAATATCTTATGCAATTGTTCCACCTGTAATATAGCATAATGTCATTGTTAACTGTGGTTTTCAAACACTAAAACGAAGACAAAAGACACCCAAGTTACTTACCTCTGTCCGACCAGGCATGATAGGTTTTCCAGCCAATAACTCGGCAAGAATGCAACCAGCACTCCACAGATCAACACCCACACCATAGTCAGTTGCCCCAAGGAGAAGCTCAGGAGGTCGGTACCACAATGTAACCACCCTACTGGTCATCGGCTGCTTGTGATTCGGATCAAAGAACGAAGCCAACCCAAAATCGGCTATCCTAAGAATTCCATCATTGCCAATGAGAAGATTCGACCCCTTGATATCACGATGCAACACATTCCTGTTATGACAGTGTTCAAGGCCAGACAACAGTTGATGCATATAACATTTGACCTGCCATGGTTACCAATGTGCATCAGATAAACACCAAAACATTTAATTCCCAGTTCACAGCAATTCAAGACAGCGCAAGAGATTTGCTAACCTGAGACTCCGAGAACTTGATAGTTGGGCTAGCTGCAAGTCCTGCTAAATCATGTTCCATGTACTCAAACACAAGGTATAAACTACACGACATTCTTGAAGTCACTAGGCCTTCAAGTTTGACGACATTGGGGTGATTCAATCGTCGCAAGATCACAATCTCCCTCGCCATGAATTTCACGCTTTCTGGTTCCAAATTGTCGAACCTAACCTTCTTCAATGCCACAATCTTTCCAGACAAAGTGTCCCTAGCTTTGTATACATTGCTGTACGTACCTTGCCCAATCTAACAAACAATAGCAACCAACAAGAAGAGAACAAAACAACAAGTTTGAAAATTATTAAAAATCATTCCCTTCAGTTTCCTTTCCTAATCGGTCCAAATGCTAAAAAGATCTCAAATTGAAGAAACCCCAGAACCCCTATTACCTTATCAAGCTTCTCGAAAGTGTCAGCACGGCGAGGAATCCAGCCATTGATGGCTTCCCCGGCCACGGCGGAGAGCCAGGACGGCCAACCGGCGGCTACTTGCTCGCCGTGGAGATGCTTGGACGGATTGCTCAGCCGGGGATTGTGCTTGGAAGACCTTCTCCTCTCACCTTTCGGCTTACTAACACTAGCAGCAGCGGAGCTTTCTTCCTCTGTATTGTTGTTGCTGCTACTAATCTCCTTCCCGACTCCATTTCTGATCTCATTTTCCACAGCACCAACTTGTTGCTGCTGCTGCTGCCGATTGTGCCGGCGAGACTCTCCCGCTCCTCCACCGCCGGACGGCCGCTTGCCGCTCAGCTCTTTCCCGAACACGCAACCCATGCTTCATTCAATTCACATTCCAAACCTGAGAGCGACCCACATTTTCTTTTTGGTTTTCCTTTGGTGGGTAGTCAGCCAAAACCCTAGAAGGAGGAGGGGAAAATAACAGCAGCGGGAAAAGGGGGAGGAGAAGAAGAGTAAAGAGGGAATGGAATGAGAGAGAGTGGGAATGAGTTTAATTAGGAAGTGGTGTGTGTGGCTTTTTTTGGGGACAAAAGGAAAAGGGGGAAGGAAGGAGGTAATGATTTTGGAAGTAATAAAGCCAACAAAAATGGTGGCACCACCAGTCAAAGAGAAGCTTTGCTTGCTTGCCTGCTGCTTGCTGTTCCTTTTTTATTTTTTGGGTGCTATTTTAGTAGTAGTATAGTACACTAAGCAAGAAGAAATAAGGAAGGATAGTAGAATACAAACCATACCAGAAAAAGGATTGTCTTTGTTTGTGGACAAAAAATTTAGTTTAAGAAAAACAGCAGGCTAACATGGGAGTAAACAAAAGATATTCTAATGCTTTCTACTTTCTCTTTTGCTTAATGGAATGCATTTGTAGCACTAATGGCTGGGAGAAGGATATGACATGTTAGGATATCATGTCATGAATAAGTTGGTGTTATGTTATTATAAATCTTATATATTTTTTACTGCTATTTTTTTAGTTATTTTATATGAAAATGGTTTTAGTTGTTATTTAAAAATAATTTGAATCTATTTATGTATCAAATTTTCAATTTATTATTTTACGATAAATTATTTCCAATCTTCATCATAGTTATTTCATTAAGTACTTTTTTGTGTAATGTAGACCAGTAATAGGATTTTCGCAACATAAATAGTATCTTAACAATAAATATACATGTCTCGTGTATATATACATGAGTATATTGATTAATGACTAACACTAATATCAATTAAAATATTCAAATTCATCATAATACTCATAATAAATCAAACTACACCACAAGTTTGTCTATAATATAGAACTGGATCAACCAACGGACCTATGCTGGAGGCGCTGTATCAGACGGCCTCACAACACACCCTATTGGCGGACACTGTATATATGGTTGTATAGATAGGGTACTTGGCTATATATGAATTAGTATACTTAACATTTCATAAACCCCAATCCCATGCACTTTAAGAACATGCACAATTTCAACCAACTCTTCACGTGTAATATACAATATAAACGAGGAAACGGCCGTAACGGTAACTCTATTAGCCGGTGTAAAATGTAACCCACCCTTCTGCTACTTATGAAAGTGAAGTGATCCGACAACCTTTTGTTATTGACTGTTCACGTAAATTAACTCCTTACATAAGAAAACTTAACATCTTAAAAATCTAGCAGTCGTGATCAAGGGACTTCTACTTCTCACTTACCAAACACATTTTCCTCTCAATGCACTCTATTACGGTGAAGAAGAAATGCTAATTACCTTGTCATTATAGTGCTCCAGATGCGTTAAGATATCATTAAGAAAATCAGATCCTCTTAATCGAGATGGAGCATCACTTTCCTTTTTCTTTGCTTACCAACTGCCTTCTGAGCGTTGAGTAATTTAGTTGGTGCAATAAAATTGGGCCGTAATTCTATGCTTTCAAGTTTATGGGAACTACTAGAAAGAGGCCTTCCACACTGATCCAATGGGCCTGCTTCACACTCACTCCAATCCACATAACCAGCGGGTTAATGTAAGACAAAATACACTTTTATACCCTCTGGATACGGCTTTTGAAATACAAAAGTAATCATTTTCAGCCATCCCTTTAACGGTATTACTTAATAGTATGATTGAACTGACGGAAATGTCGAGTTGGAGATATTTCGTCCTCATCAATCCACGTGGATTAACAACAACAAAAAGCAAAATACACTTCCATAGTCACAGCTTTCACATTTGTGATAGTTATAACCACGACTTTCAGAATATACGAAATAACCACTTTCGGTCATCCCTTTAACGGTGTCACTTAACAATATAACTAAAGATGAATGTCTTATTTCACAAATCGTTGGTTCAGATCCCCAATCGCTAAAATAAATAAGAAGGCCTCAGAAGCTTGGCAAAGTCGTAGAAACATGGCGAGAAAGGGCAAGAAGGCTTATGGGAAGAAGCTAGACGACGGCTGCTAAGAAGAAGGCATCGATGGTGAAAGAGGAGACAGTGCATGTCAAGAAAGAGGGCAAGAAGGTTAATGGAAGAAGCTAGACGATGGCTGCTAAGAAGAAGGCATCGATGGTGAAAGAGGAGACAATGTCTCCGGTGGGGCCATAGACCAAAAAGTTGGGAAGGAAGGATGTGACGGCTTGTAGTGCATTTCTCTCTCCAATTCCTCAAAACCGTCGTGGTTGCGATTGTTCTTGTTTCGTTGAAGCTTGAATCATCGCACTCAATTGGCCCGAGAAAAAAATTCAATGACAAGGTCGTGATTGTTTCTTGTATTTTGAATGTTTGTTACGAAAATGACTAGATTTGTCAAACAACCATCAAAATTCTGGCTATTTTGTGTATTTCGAATTTTGTGGCTATAACTGTCACAAACGTGAAAGTTGTGGGCTTTTGGCTATGATTACATTGGCGGAGCTAGGTGAGAAGATGTGTGGTCCATGGACCCCACTTGGAAAATAAATATACCTTAAAAATAATGAAAATTTAATGGCTATAACTGTCACAAACGTGAAAGTTGTGGGCTTTTGGCTATGATTACATTGGCTGAGCTAGGTGAGAAGATGTGTGGTCCATGGACCCCACTTGGAAAATAAATATACCTTAAAAATAATGAAAATTTAAGATGAAGTTAGTAAGTTTTGAACCATGGACCCCATCTTCATAAGATGGTAATTTCATCGTTGAGACAAACATAATATGTTATTAAGTTTGGACCCCACTAAATTATATTTCTAGCTACGCCAATGGCTATGAAAGTATATTTTGTTTAAAATATTTTAAAGTAATTATTATGTGACATCTACGTGGCAAGTGAATATGAGTTGTCGTTGATGTGTGCGTCAATTTGGTATCCTAATCAGCGTGTCGTTAACCTAATCAAATACAAATTGATTTTGTCGGGAATATTTTTAGTTGAGTTTCCCTCATAAGAAGGGTAACGGGTTTGTGCGAATTTTATATTTTAATTAGACATTTAATTATCTCTTAGGCATTTTTTTCATTTTCTCCCCGTTTCACAAACACTGCAACAAAGAAAATTCAATGAACATTGGTGGTATAAGAAACATTTCAGATTATGCCAAGAACTTCATATCTAGTTGTTCGAGAATGGTGAGAGTGAGTTTTCCCCAAACCACATACACGGTGATTTGGACATGTCACATTCCACCACTGCATAGTTTTGGTTACGACAATGGTTGTGATTTTAAGTCGTGATTGGGGGATGGTATATAAAAAAATCGGCAAAATCAAATTTGTTGTCATCCCTAGATCCAACAGCCCGACAAAACTCACGAGAACAGCAATCCAATAGTGAAAAACATCTTAGAATCAAGTACTAGACTATCATTACATTCGATTCAGTTTGGTACGATCCAATATCAATCTAATTCATTTTTCTTCACTAATTATAAAATTCAATAAACTAAAAACCGTAATGCATTATACTTTATTAGAGGCTTAATTGCAAGTTTGGTCACCCGAATTGCTTAAAAATTTCACGTTTGCCACCCGAATTGATTTATTCCATTTATAGTCACTCGAATTAGTTGAACAGTCCAAGTTCGGTCACTCTCCGTTAACCTCCGTTAATGACGACCGTTAAGTGATGACGTGGCTAACAGAAAGACACAGTCAGCACATTTAAACATTAAAAAACGACGACCCGACCCGCCAACTCACCCTTACCCGCCCAGTCAGCCATTCTTGCCCAAACCCGCGAACCAACCCAATTAATTGACCCTAAACCCAAACTCGAGACCCAACCCCCCCTGAATTGTAAATCGCAGACGACAACAATTTCTTCCTTTTCCCCCTTTCCCTTCTGTTCCTCCCTGTACTCTCAATCTCTCCATCTTCAGCCTCCGATTGATGACAACGAAGCCTCTATGGAAGACGGACACCAACACCGGAAAGGTCAGGAGGGTAGAGCTCCGGCGAGCCAAAGGAGCGGTTATTTGAACGCCGATCCGTTTCTATTTTTTGGTCGTCTGAAAAAAAAAAGAAGCGAAGGATAAGGCTGCCTTCCTGACTATCACATGGATATCCTTGTCGGTCCTACACTCACCATCGACGTTTCGCCTCCTCAGGCGGCGGCGGCTTACTCCCTCTCCCAGCCTGAGACCCAGCGGTTATTTCTGAAGCATAGGGTTTCGTCCGTTGTGGAGGGAGAAGAAGACGAGGATGGGTTAGTGGGTTCGATCTCGATCTCCAACCGCAGTCGTTTTGGCCTTCCGATGGCTAGAGCTGGGAAATCGCTCGAAGATTCTTCCGATAGCTCGTCTTCATTCGTCGGCGCTCCCGACGACAGCGACGAGTAAGAGGAAGACGACGGAGAGAGCAATAGCAGCAGCGGTGCCTCGTCGTCTATGAAGAAAGGCCTCGGCTCTCTCGGCTCCATGGACGCCCTGGAGGACTCTCTCCCCACAAAGTGAGTTTGTGCTCCTGCTCGATTTGGATTCGGATCTCTCTACTACCCGATTATTAATTAGGGGGGGGGGGTGATTTGATTTCTCAAAATTGCAAGAAGGGATTGTCAAATTACTTCGCCAGGAAATCGAAGTCGTTCGCGAGCTTGTCCGCTGCGTGCTTGGCGGTGAGGCAAGCGAAGGATCTGGAGAAGCCGGAGCACCCGTTCAACAAGCGGAGGAGAATTCTGATGGCGAACAAGTGGTCGAGGAGATCGTCGTTCTACAGCTGGCATAACCCTAAATCCATGCTGTTGCTCACCTTGAACGAAGACGACGACGAAAGCGGCGACCACAATCGCCGCCGGGGGAACGAAGAAGACGACGAAGAGGAAGAAGACCGCCGTGAAAGCCTCTCGTCGTCCTCGTCGTCGGATAAGGATGAAGAGGATGGGAGACGAGCGCAGATGGAGAGAACGAGTTGTTGTCGTCTGTGATTTACAATTCAGGGGGGTTGAGTCTCGGGTTTGGGTTTAGGGTCAATTAATTGGGTTGGTTCGTGGGTTTGGGCAAGAATGGCTGACTGGGCGGGTAAGGGTGAGCTGGCGGGTCGGGTCGGGTCGTCATTTTTTAATGTTTAAATGTGCTGACTGTGTCTTTCTGTTAGCCACGTCATCACTTAACGGTCGTCATTAACGGAGTCTAACGGAGGTTAACGGAGAGTAGGGCTGGTAATCGGTCGGTATCCGGTATACCGGAAACAGACAGTGTACCCACCGAATACCGATACCGAATGTTAGCCGGTATACCGAATACCGAATAGTCGGTATCCGATATTAATACCGGTATACCGAATACCGGTTAATGCATTGAGATTACGTTTTTGAGCAGGTATACTGATTTAATACCGATACCGGGTGGGCTGATTTGGGCTTTTTGTGCCTTTTATTTTTCTGAATGTTGTTTAATTAAATGATGTAAATAATTTGTTCGTTTATTAATTATTACTATATTATATTGCTATCGTCTAGCAAGTTTTATTAATCAACAATTCACTATTAGTTAATAGTAATTAGTAATTAGTTAATTAGTTGTTTATCTAATAGACCCTTACAATTATCATTAACGATTTACCAATAGTCCAATACTCCATTAGGCAATGACATTGTTAATGTTAACTACATTCTACAAGTAGTTAGTAGATAAATATAGCATTACTACGACATAAGACACAAGTACATAGTCTCAAACATGAAATAATTCACAAATTCCATCATCCAACAATCAATATAAGTTACACTTACAAGTTCCAACTTAATCGGTATTCGGTATACCGATTTACCGTCGGTATATAACTAATCGGTATTCGGTATACCGTTTGGCCAAAAAGTGCAGCCGAATACCGATTGTAACCGGTTCGATACCCGGTTATACCGAATACCGGTTTACCGAATACCAACCCTAACGGAGAGTGACCGAACTTGGACTGTTCAACTAATTCGAGTGACTATAAATGGAATAAATCAATTCGGGTGACAAACGTGAAATTTTTAAGCAATTCGGGTGACCAAACTTGCAATTAAGCCCTTTATTAGATATAGTCCGATTCATACATCAATTAAGTTCGTAGAGATCCAGTACATACTCCTACTAACAACCGACAATTACGCAAAAGTCTTGAATGCTGACGTGAAGAGGTTGATTTTCTCAACCCTTTAATATGTTTTTCAGATAAGATAAATTGGTTAGATGGATGACAAAAACAATAACAACCAGCAATGACGCCGCATAACGTGGACGGCCGGTGAAAATCTGGCACGGCGGCAGTCATTATCCTCTCGACCAGGAGCCATCCTGGCCACGTGTAGCTCACCGATTGGCCGAATTTCGTCTCCCTTCCCCGCTCTGATCCAAAGTGGGGCAAAAAGGAAAAGATCGCGCCCACACAATCTCGATTTCTCACTCTCGATTCCACTTTACTTTCTTCTTCATCTTCTTCCCATCCTCATTCGTCTTTTAATGCCCACCTAATACCTCCGCCATATGGAATCAACCATTTCTTGCCGTGGTCGCTCGCTGTCACATTTCCTCCCTTCCCCGCTGCCGATCCGCTCGCCGCACTACCTCCACTCAATTCTCAAGCTCCCGTCGCGATTTTCTCCGCTGCCGTCGACACCGATTTCCATGGCGTCGCCTCCCCTTCATGTCTCTGCCTCGTCCGCCGTTGGTATCTCCTTCAAATCTCCCCTCTTCCCCTTTTCGTTAAATTCAGTTTGCAGACATGGGTTGTCTTTATTTTGGCTGAAGTCAATTCATTCGCCTCCGATTACTGGTAAGGTGCTAAGAACGATGAAGCAACGACGACTGCTTCCTCTGGTCTCGTCGGAGAGACTGATCTGCTCATTGTCGGCCCCGGAGTACTAGGTCGCTTAGTCGCCGAGAAATGGCGGGAGGTAAAGCAAGAATACGCTGTTTATTTCTCTTCCTTCTTGCCCGCATTTCTCAATCGAGATGTGAATTTCGTCGATTCTTAGGATTTTCATTTTTGTTGGTGTGATTGAGAATGTAGGAAAACCCAGGTAGTCAGATTGTGGGACAAACGATGACTGAGGATCACCATGAGGAACTGATCAAATTGGGGATCAATCCTTCTCTGAAAGATACTCAATCGAGTCAACGATATCCTTACGTGATCTTCTGTGCTCCACCTTCTCGATCCGCTGATTATCCTGCCGATGTGAGGTGATAAGAAATAATCCCTGATGGAATTGGAAATTCTATCCATCTCCCATAAGCCTATCTAGAACATTATTATGTTAACTTCTATGGCTTCTAACCAGGGAAGCTGCTTTGAGATGGAATGGAGAAGGCTGTTTCCTGTTCACTTCAAGCTCGGCGCCCTATGATTGTTACGACAATGGAGACTGCAATGAGGTAATGATGAACAAGTGCCTACTTCAGTGTCACATGGTTTCCCTTTGTTGGCTACACATTCTTGGTTCTTTGAGTTTTGAAGTATGGTTTGATCAGGACACTCCAGTTGTGCCAATTGGGAGAAGCCCTCGAACAGACGTCCTTCTCAAAGCAGAGCAAGTAGTTCTGGAACATGAGGGTTGCGTGGTTAGATTGGCTGGACTCTATATATCCTTTTTTCCTCCAGGACTTGATGAACATTTGCTGTTTTGCCTATTTTAAAAGAGAAGCTAGGCACTTCGTTTTGTGTGCGTTTGATTTGGTTGCCCTTAATTGGGACTTACAAATCAGATAGAGGTGCACATACTTACTGGTTAGAGAAAGGAACTGTCGAGATTCGGCCGGATCACATCCTTAATCTCATTCACTACGAGGTGAAAACAAACTCATTGCATTTGTCGAAGGATGATTACCCATTTTTGTGTAGAATATAGAGCCTTTCATGGAACAGCAAGCTTGATGGGTTCTTTTTCTTGACACTTGACAGGATGCTGCATCTCTATGCACAACAATCCTGAAAAACAAAGTCCGTGGCCAGATCTTCTTAGGCTGCGACAACCATCCATTGTCTAGGTACACTATATGGCTTGTCGATCGTTTTCACCAATAAAGTTATGGCACAGAATACCCTTTTCTTTCAAAATGTGCAGACGAAAACGTCTGCCTGTCTCAGCCATCGGATGAGGAAACTAACGGCTGAGACTCGCTCTGCACGTTTGGAAGAAAAGGGTGTCTTGCAAGGTAAGGGGGAACATGTTTTCACTTCTTTCTCTTTCCAATTCATGCAGGCAGGAAGTGATGGACCTGGTTGCTAAAAGTGGCAAGTTCAGCAAGAAATTTGAGGGCTTTACTGGTATGCATTGCAGCCCTCCTTTTCCTCTGTTGAAAGGATACTCTCCCTAATTACTGATTTTACTTGAGGTTATACCATGTTAATGGTATGCAGGAACAAGTGATCCTCTTGGTAAGAAACTAAACAACTCGAAAACTCGGCAGGCGCTTTCATGGGAACCTAAGTATCCCAGCTTAGCTCACTTTCTTGGAGTGGCTTCATCAGAATGAGTCAATCTCATTGAGCAGCAACATACAATTTCGAGCTGTGAAGTGAATCTGAATAGGGAGAAGCTATGGTGCCATTCGAGAATAAGCAGTGGTTGTGAAATGTGATTTTTACGGATGGAAATTGAAAATGGAGGAATGGCTGGAAACAAACACAGATTTTTTGGAAAGCACACACCATCTTTAGCTGTCTGTTGCCATGTACACGTAAAGAGTTTGGAACTGTAAAGTACAACACGGTAAAGTATGAATCGAGCTCCAAAATGTAAAGAGCAGAAGTCCGAGCCACCAAGGCAGCAGCAGCAGCCATGCAATTCTTGCATTCTCACTCGTTCTGTGAGTTTGAACGAGGCCACGGACTGGAAGAAGAACCATCGGAGACGCAGATCACGACGCGCAGAACCTCGTGGATGGCGCCCCTGCGAAGGACCCCCAGAACCTCGATGCCCTTCTCGGTCGCGAGCTCTGCTAGAGTGAGGTGGCGAGAATGAGACTCGTCCCTCATCCTGAATCCATAGAACCATCTCCCTAGCTTCCACCATTTCACACACACTTGCCTCTCCGAAATCCAGCAGCTCTTTAGTGCTGCCACAACTTCCCATGCCTGTAATGAAACAGTAAAAGCTTACCCAATATCATGCATTCAAATCGCGCTCAATAAGCTGCAATTCAACCAAACAAACACCAATTTTGCGTCGATCTACGACGAATGTCAATCTAAGAAACCAATTCATAGAGCGGCTTACCGGGGTTTGCAGGCAGGCGATGGAGTAATGCAGCGCGACCAAGTTCAGAAGCACAGACAGGTGCGGCTTGAAGAGGAACATTCGAACGTCTGCATAGGAAAACTCCAACGAACTCAGTTCCCCAATCGCTTGCACGTAATCCCCAACTTCCATCGATTCAACCCCACAGCATTGATTCACGAATCCGACCACCGCGCCAGCTCTGATCGCCATCTCCCTGTGCTTCCCAGCGTAAACCTCCCTCCATCTCTGCAAATGGAAACCCAGATTTGGGAGGCCGGCAAGAGAAAGAAATTGAACGGGAAAAACAAGAAGAATCCATCAATCAATCAATCGGTTACCAAAGAAGCAGAGGAATCTCGGGGGAAAGCGGCGGCGGGCCATCTACGGCGGGCGAGCGATTCCCAGATGGAATCTGAGCTGCACAGTTCCCTCCAGTAGCGAGAGCACCTGCTTAGAACGCAGACGTCCAAAACCTTTCGCCACCGGAAACCAAAAAAATTCTCTCAAGATGGCGTAAAAGTGAATCTTACGGGGGAACAAGAAGCAAGAGGGATGGAGAAATCATTACCGGAAGATAGGAAGCGATTTTGAGACAGATATCGAACGGCAGGCCGCTCTCCAAGATCGACGCCGATTCGTTCATCGCCGGGAAACTGTTTTTTTCCGGCCGAGTGATTCAGGAGCTTTTTTACTGTGAAAAAATGGTGAGATGCTTTTTTGTTCCCAAAAACAGTTGTGTTGGCGATTTAGACGAGGTGTTGTCAGTTGTGTAAAACTGTCCTCATTGATTGCACGGAAACCAACGTGGCGCGTTTCCAGAGATACACGTCACTGCAAATGGTCCCCTTAGCTTACCCGTGACACCCGCGGGTCAGCATCGGTCCCGGCTTTTCAGTACATTTATTGTCCAGGCCCGGCCCACCAGTTTGGGCCCGTATATATCCATAGCCCATGGGCTATGTCTATTGCAGCCGAATGAGAAAAGACCAAAAAATATGGGGAAAAAAAAAAGAAGAAAATCCTGGCCGATAATCCTCTCCAGATTTCAGTCTGATGGTCCGCCATGGAAACCACTTCTTCCCCCCACCTTCATTTCCAGCCTCAAATTCCTCCCCCCGCTCCATAATCTACACTCTAATCTCTATAGACCAAACCTTCAGAATCAGTGCAAGTGAAAAGTGGGAAACTGAGAGAGGAAGAAAAATGGCGCTTTCTTTGTCTTCGAATGTGTTCAATCTCCATCCCTGCAAGTCATACAGAGCTCCAATTCTGACAACCCACCTCAACAATGGGACACTCCAGGTACATTACCTTACTTCGCCTTCTAATCCCGCTCGACCCTTCAGTAGAAAACTACTCAAGCGTCGTCCGATTACTGCTTCAATCGCTACTGAGGATAATAATCAGCAAGTCCAAGAAGTTTCTACTGCTTCGTTTAGGACCAAGAACCCTAGGGAAATCAACGTCTTGGTAGTGGGTTCCACGGGCTACATAGGAAAATTCGTAGCGAAAGAGCTTGTTGATCGAGGGTTCAACGTCATAGCAGTCGCTAGGGAGAAGAGCGGAATTCGTGGCCAGAAGAGCAAGGACCAAACCCTAGAAGAATTGCAAGGAGCCAATGTCTGTTTCTCGAGTGTGACAGAATTGGAAACTCTGGAGAAATCGCTCGATGAATTAGGGGTTCCAATCGATGTCGTCGTTTCGTGCCTCGCAAGTCGATCGGGAGGGGTGAAGGATTCATGGAGGATTGATTACGAAGCAACCAAAAACAGTCTACTGGCAGGTAAAAAGAAGGGCGCCAAGCATTTTGTCCTGCTCTCTGCAATCTGTGTTCAGAAACCGCTCCTCGAGTTCCAGCGCGCGAAGCTGAAATTCGAGGAGGAGTTGATGCAGGAAGCCGAAAGTGATGACAATGGGGGGTTTAGCTACAGTATTGTGAGGCCTACTGCTTTCTTCAAGAGCTTAGCAGGCCAAGTTGAGCTAGTGAAACAAGGTAAGCCGTATGTGATGTTTGGTGATGGGAAGCTCTGTGCTTGTAAGCCGATAAGCGAACAGGATCTCGCATCGTTCATGGCGGATTGTGTGCTGGACGAAGACAAGATGAACAGGGTTCTCCCCATTGGTGGGCCGGGCAAGGCATTGACGCCATTGGAGCAAGGGGAGATGCTGCATAAACTGGTAGGGAAAGAGCCGAAGTTCTTGAAAGTGCCAATTGGGATCATGGATTTCGCCATTAGCGTGCTGGATTTCCTTGTGAAGATCTTCCCAGGGATGGAGGACGCGGCCGAGTTTGGGAAGATTGGGAGGTACTATGCTGCTGAGAGCATGCTGGTCTTGGATGCTGAGAGTGGGGAGTACAGTGCTGAGAAGACTCCTAGCTATGGGAAGGATACATTGGAGGAGTTCTTCGAGAGGGTGCTGAAGGAAGGCATGGCTGGTCAGGAATTGGGTGAGCAATCTATATTCTGAGGTCTGTCTGATACATTTTTTTGGGTACAGAGACGGAGATTATTTGTAAATTGGGAAGCCATGCTCCAACGCTTGCTTAGAGGTATATGTCTGTGCTTGGAGACTCTGTTCCTAGGTTGGTCCAGTCATGGATAACATGATTCTGTTCTCGATAGACATTTTTAATCTGCACTAGCCCTTGGCCAAATGATTGTATGTGGTGTTTGTCTTAAACATATTGCTACATAAGAACTAGAAGTCTTTTCAGGTAACAATAATAAAAAAAAAAAAAAAAAAAGAGAAGGAACAATTGTCGACAAATAACCAAGTCGTTGATATGAGTCCTTTTTGCTACGATGCGAGCAATTTTGTTGTACCGGTACGACATGAGCAATATCCCTGATTTCTTGAATGTATTGTTAAGAGACATGAAGAGTGAATAATATGTTTGTCGACCTAGCTTCTTGAATGGCAACATTAGACCAATACTAAGAACGATATTGGCTTAAATTTCAAACCTTTGCCTCATTAACGCGTCAACTCTAGTATTGTCCGATGACATAACGCGAATTACATGATTTGGTGTATTTTTATCGCCGATCATGGTGAAGAATTCAATCATTCAATCCTCTGAAAGTTACGATTACCAAACATTCAGATATCGTTATTCACAACCGTATACAAACAACATTAATCCTGACCATAGGATTCGAGTAGGACCAATCTTTTTTCACTCCAATTTGATGTGCATATTAAAGAAGAAATGCGAGAGAGGAAGAGAGTGTACATTACAACTCCAAGCACACATATATACACAAATGCCAACATTCTCCAAATGAGTCACCCAATTTGAGAAACAACAACATAAGCAACAGAACACACACACCACCGGCTTCGATCTCAGCTACGCAGCCGTCGTTGCAGGCGGCGGGATCTTGCGGTGGAGTGACAAAACAGAGAGGAAAACCAGGAGGACGAGCAGAACAGAGGCGAAGAGGGAGATGGCAATGGAGCTTCCCAAGTGCTTGCAGTACTTGTCGTAGACGCTGCACACCTTCATCCACCCGGCGTGCTTGTTGCCCTTCAGGCCGACGTAGGCCACGCCGCCGGCCGCCGCGGTGGCCGTGGAAACTAGTCCTAGCGCCAGCTGCAGGGGGGAGACGGGAGTTAATGGGTTTGGGATGAAAGCAAATGACAGAGTAAGTAGTAAATTAGTTGGTTACTGACCACGTCGAGGAAGATGAAGTGGAGCAGGAACTTGTTTTCGTATTGTGGTTTGAGGATCACTCCCACGGATGCTAGGAGGGTGACGATGGTGTATGTGGCTGCTACACACAGTGCTGAAATGAAGTATCTGTTCCAAACACAAAATGAAAAATAATATAAAGTTCATGTATATTGTGGTTTTACTTTTTAAACCCGGTTAATTTAACGTAATTACGATTCAATCGTAGTAAAATATACATAATTTACATTTGTATATGTGAGATACGTTATATTGACGATCGTGAAGTTTCGACTTAATCGTTGAATATACCCATGAATTTGTCTAACCAATTATGCCTAGCTTCCTTAAGATACATTCAATAACCATGAGTTAGTCCCTTCTTTATTGTCAAATGACCCTAAAGTTAGATTCTCTTGTTTTGCAAATATTTTGAACCCACAAATTCAACAATAATTTTGTTTTACAAGTCATGTAATAGTTATTTATTGATATTAATATCAAACTGATATTGTACTAGTCCTTGTTTGAATAATGAATATTCTCTTTTTTTTATCATCGAAATAGCTATGTTTTTTTAATTATAGATTGCCTAGAGTTAGAAATTCAAAACCCATGATTAACTACCATTAGTAATCATGGGTTAATCTCTCACCAAAAAAACTACCATTAGTATTTAGCAATCAAGTTAATCCAACTACTATCTGATTTTTATCATTAATTCAATTCCTCAAATCAAATATAAACCGGTGAAATTTGGAGGTCAAGTTCAATAAATAAATATTCTCTCTCCGAGTATATGATTCTTAATTAAGAAATATCTTGATTAAGCTCCTCTATGTGGAATTAAGCTAATCAAATATCCTTGTCAAAAGATAATGAAAACAAAAAAGCATCAAGTTACCAACTCACATGAAGGCAGGGGAGTGATCGAATTTTGCTTTACGGCCCATCTCCGTCTGCTCGGCGGTGGCCATGACCACCACCGCCGTCACCGTGGCGGCCAAAAGCACCGCCCTCAGTGCCACGTCAGCCTTAAAAGAAACAAACAGCACCCCCACACCCGCCGAAGCAGTCGGAGGAGGAGCTGCCGCCTCTTCCTCCGTCAACTTGCTGGCCTCGACCGGAGGTGGCGCCGGCGGGGCTTCTTCCGTGGCTGCCGCCGCCTTGGTTTCTGGCTCTGCCGCCGGTGGTTTCACATCGGCCATGATATTAATTAGATATTATTAATCAAGCTTAATTAGTTGAACTAAGTAATTAAGCTGATGATGAGAGTTGGGGAGATATTTAGTGTATAACTCTGTGCTCAGTGTGTGTATGAGTAAGGAGTGATGTGAATTTATTGGAAAGGGTTGGATTAGCCTGCACGGCAAGTGCTAATTTTTTTTCTTAATAGACGCCAAGTGCTAATATTGAAAAGGAACCGTACCTTTGGTTTTTTTTTTCTTTCCTTTTGAATAATTAATTTGTTTGATTCTATCTCTTAATTGTGATTATGAAAGACTCGAAAAATTGCTAAGGGCTATATGTATGATAGGCAAGTGGTATGTTTAGGCTTGGTATGGTCAGTTACCACAACTTAATATTATGATAAAAATTTTTTTGGTGATTATCAACAGTGCTCTAAAACACGATATGCATGCTCATTATCATGGGTTTTTCGAAGATATTGACAACGCCATACATAAACGATTAGGATGACTGAATGTGTGAACCATTTCTTAAATGCACACCTACAAAAACAAACTCATCTTCTTGAGAAGTTGGAGCACAACAACCACGAATAGATACCAACTTGAGTTGCTTCAACTTGTTAGAGCCACCAAGTGAAGACGTCGGTTTTAACCTCCAACAGTTGATCACCAACAGAAAATTGTGCTCTCGATAATATACAGAGTAAACAAAATATTCATTCAAAAGAGAGTATCCACAAGATGAAGCTTTTCTAATTAGAGTAAATAAAATATTCATTCATACGATATGATCGACTTACTGAATAAGACTAAGAATATAGAGTTAAAGCTTCTCTAATTATAAACTTAGAAGTGATTGGATGAGAGAAAGTTCAATCACTACTTTGGTATAGATACGGTTAGATGGTTGATCTACCAATAGCATCACAAAGTTATTGCAATTTTTGTGACAAGTTGGTGGTAATAAATAATTAATCAAACAAAAACTCAAAAGAGATTCTGACTATGTTTAATACAGAGACAAAGAGCAATTGGATCCTTATTAAAAGTCATTACATGATTCGATTACACGTCCATATCAACTTAGAAATGATTTCGTCTCTATGTTGCTTATCCTTTTTAGCAACTCAGCTCCCCTCTTGATTCTTCATTCTCCATCATCTTATATATATTTAATAAAATGATGAGCCAAATACATTTACATAATAAATTAACAGTTTAGCTCATTATTGCATAAGATGCTTCTCGTGATTTCTATCATTGGGATCTTTCTACTGTTCGCTGGTTGAAAACAGTGATGGAGTCATAAATACGAGTGAAGATTGAAGAGGGTGATAAAATTTAACCCATAAAATTTTGAAATACAATAGTTGAGATGAGGGGATCAAAGCTTTATAAACAAGTAACCGTTCTATCATAATCGGGTTGCTCATTAGTACGATATTGTTCGCTTTGGGTCAAGCCCGTACGGTTTTACTCTTGGATGTCCTCCCCAAAAGACCTAGTACTAATGAGCTTTGTGGACACTTATATACAAGGGTTCATTCTCTTGTATTTCTGATGTGGTACTTAGATTGTCTCATAACACGTTCTATGAAACATATTCATCATCAAATTTACATGTAATTTTTAGTTTATAACTAAATTTGGGAGTTGAGCTTATAGCCCTCCCAGTCCCAGCCGCAAGGTGACTCCTATATAGGTTCAAAATGCACATGTAATTTTTAGTTTATAGCTAAATTTTTAATACTTTAAGTGTCCTCACTTTTTTTGGGACATTTTAATCCCTTTCATTTGGTTTCTTCGATTGTTAAATTAATGTATTGTGATTATTAATATATGTATTAATAAATTTATTGCATTGGAAATTATAACATTTACTATGTGTAATTGTAATTTCAATAATTGAAAAGGAAAGATAATTTTAATGAATAATGTAACTTTTACCCCTTTTTCAATACATATATACTTTTAAAGGTTAAATTAAAAAAAATACTAAAATTTATAGTGAACAACTCCGAGAATCACCATTTTTAATTGAGATTGTACAATAATTTAGTTTAAATAATTATTAATGTCACATCAAACAAGTGATAAATATGTTGTTAACACTTTGTGTCAACTTACGCTTTATTTGGGTAAAAAAAATATTATTTGCTTCCCTACGAAACAACTTTATTATAATATATAATTTTTTTACTAGTTAAATCGATTAATTTGATCGTTATAATTAGGATGTAAAAGCTACGTTTTTACATGCTTCTAACAAAAAAAAATTAACGATTAACTAGTTTACTTTCCAATTTCTTGTTATAGAAAGAAGGGAACGGCTACGGTGCTAATTGTACAATAGTTAGCACCGTCCTAACCAAGGGAAAAACTACTACTAGTTTGAATTAGCAGTGATTTAGCTTAGATGTTGTATTGATTTTATAATAATCTGTAGTGATTTCGTTATTTTTAATAGCATTTTTTCCTAGTTATCACGATGCTAACCCCTATAAGGGTTAGCACCTAATCCCATCCCTAGAAAGAAAGATCATATAATTGATCCATTTAGAAACGTCTACAAAGTATACGCACTAATCACAGTTAAAAGACAATAGGAATTGAGACTTTCCCTTGATGAAGCAGATATAAATAAGTAGATAAGGGTCGATGTTGCGTATGGACACACTCATTTTTAATGGAAGGGTAATTATATTAATCAATGCATATAATGAGTTCTTAATTGACTGGTTAATTAAGCTGATACAGACGTCAAAGGAGTACGACAAGCAGCCTATAGTGTGTACCAAGTGATAATAAGAAAATTAATCTAGATGTAGTCACAATATATAATGTAAATATAATTTTCTTTGAATTTATCAGAAGAAACAAACAAACTTTGTCAGCTCATAGCTTATCATTAGAACCCTACGATTGCATGATCTATACACGAAGTCATGACATCGTCACTCACCAAGAGGAGAGGGACTAATCGATTATTAACGGTGTAGGATAGGGTGCATAACTCTTATATATTTGATCATAATCATACGGAATCTTTTCGGTTTTGAGTGGAGACTGATCTATGGGATGAGATTAACATGATTTTTACTTTTTTCAATTTTTATTAATCGTGTTGTATGATGTATCTTCTTTATTTTTTTCAATTTTGTGTATAAATTGAACGTATTTATTGTGATGTACAGAAATATATCCATTTTCGATAATATATTGTGAAATGGTTTGTACTGCCCATTACCACACATTGTCAACCTGGTACCACTTTTGTACCCTCTCCATTTTAAACTAAGATTTTGAAAATTTTGGAACATAAGCAACAGGTTATCATGATTTATTTTAATCTACAAATTACTAGAAAACAAATTCTAGATTAAATACACCACCGTGGTATTGGGTGGTAACTGGTAGTCAGTGGTAGATAGTAATAAATTATGGTTACTTGGTTAGTATATTCATATTATTAATATTATGTATACAACCATTCTACACTATAACATATTTATACCATCATGATATAATCTTATTTTTGTTGCAAAATATATAAAAGTCGACGTCATCTTGAAAAGCATGATTAATATGATTTTTTTTTTGAATTTCAACTTCAAACGAAAGATAGCCCGTTAAATGAAATTGGGGTAAAATTATGCATGTTCAATCACGAAGCAGGTTACTCACTTGATCCACTCCCTTTATTAACTCTCTTGTGAGTTTTGACAATTGCGTACTACCAATGCTGGAGCCACATTGTATCCAAAAGGGCCATAGCATCCTTCAACTTTCAAATGTAGTTAAATCGATACGTAAAGTTTATAACAAAATAGGAAAATAGACTAGTTGGTAAGGCTCTAGCCCCTGCCCAATAACCATGGTTCAAATATTCAAATTCCTGACTTCGTCACTACGTACTACATGTTTATCTGGAGTATAAACACTAACGCAACACCCATCCACAAGCCACAAAGTTTATCATCAAAAAATTTTGCAGTTACATTTTTTGCTTCATTTATTTGACTTGTCAAAACATTTTATAAAGCACTTAATAATAGAACCATTCATAAACTTAATTAAAATAAAATGCTTGAAAATAAAGCTACAAATGTCGCTTAGTTTAATTATGATCATAGACTTCGACAAACGTATGAATTTTATCAAACATAAATACAGATCAAAATGCCACGACGAAATCACGATGATTACTACTACAAAGTCGAGAGGGTCACATTTAGCGACGACGACGACTCTGCTCGTCGTCGCCGTCGCGTTCTTTGATTTGTCGAGGGCAATAGAGAAGTATCCGAGAGGTATTCCCATGGACGATCGTTACCTCCAAGAGTAGGGGTGGGCATTCGGTCGGTTCGGTTTGAACCGAACCGAAATGGTATGTACCGACTTTCCGAAGTTTCCCACACCCTAACCGAATTATTTCGGTTTGGTTTGAACTGAAATATATATCGGTTCGGCTCGTTTTTTTTTTTCATAAACCAAAAAACTCCCCACACATATATTCTGCCATCCCCACTTCCCCCTCTCTCTTTCTCAAACAACTTCTTCTTCTTTTTTTTTACAAATCTCTCTCTCCCCCCAACAAACAAAGCCTCTCTCTCTCTCATTCTTCTTCTTCTTTACGGGAGATCTCTCTCCCCCCATTTCTTCCTAACCTCTGGCCCTCTCATTCTCCACCTTCCTTTACTTCCCCATCCCACCACCGCCATGAAACCACAACCTCATTTTCGCCCATCTCCATCTCGAACCAGTAGAGCAAAAGAAAATCAGTCGCACTGTCGCCAATCTCCCTCTATGCTTCCTGATTTCAACTAAGGTAAGTCATTTTTGGATTGCATGTCAGTTTTAGAGATCTGATTTTGACTTAGGAGATGTTCAGAAATCTTACCCATCACTTGTTTTATATTTTGAATCCTTTCGACATTCTGACCTTTGTTTTATTTTTTTATTTTTTGGTGTGGCTGAGGAGTAAGAGGGTTGTGGCGATGCCGATCTGCTTAGAAGAGGACTACAGGTGGTGACAAGGTGTGGAGTTGGAGACGGACGTGCAGGCGACCTGATCCGAGAAGCAAAACAAGAGAGGAAGAAGTAAGAAGAGCAGCAGATCGAGATATGAATCATCTCAAATCTGATGTCCAAGGCCAAGGGGGAAGAAGACTGGTTTTTATTTTTTATTTATTTTCCTTTTCCTAGGGTTATTTGGTAGATCTGGAAGAAGGGAGATAGAGAGAACGAGAGGGCTAGATCGAGTCTTTTTTATGCGGGTGGGCTGGACTTGGGAAGTATTTTTATTGGGCTGTGGGAGACTCAGAATGGGCTTGAGAACACGGGCCATGGGACTAATTTGTTTAAATTCGAAACTCGGTTAGGAATTCGGAAACTCGGTTCGGTTGAGATGGGTCTGGTTTCCAAATTATGGTTATTTCCCTTCCGAATTCCGAACCGATAACATGTCTTCGGTTTTGGTTTGAACTCGGTTCGGTCCGGTTCGGGTTTACCGAATCGGATGCCCACCCCTATCCAAGAGTATATGGAGCTGGCGCAGTTTGGGCTGACGGCGGAGAACAAGAGGAGACCAAACGCCGAGTCGCTGAAAATGGTGAGTCTGGACAAAGGAGGCACCGAGCCTGGTTTGGACTCAACGACTTTTGTTTTCTACATCACCGTCTTCTCCACTCGCCATGGCAAAGCCACTTACTTGGAACGGGTTGTAGAGGGGATTGGTGGCCGTTATCTTGAGTCTTTCACTCAGGTTTGGTAATATAAGTCAAGACCAAAACAAGGGTGAAAACTTCTAATGATGGTGATATAGTGTTTTTAAGAAAAATAAAATATTGTACTGGTTGCGTGAACTTACCGTACGTTTCCAATTCAAATTGAATTGAATTTACGATATGTTTAAGTATCAGAGACCTCCTTAGGGACACTACAAATTGTACGATGTTGAGATTCTCGGACTTGACAAAATCGGACCGCAGTGCGTTATTAGAGCTTCTCCAACAATGCAATCCTTCTTCACTTTCAAGTGTGGTCCCGTACTGCCACCTAAGCAACTCTAGCAATTACTTCACTCTTCAATTTCATACTAGCTACATCAATGTCATTCCAAATGCAATTGCACTTCTGGGTCCCACTTACATGTTAATACCACACAAATGGTTAGGAAAAGAAGAAAGAAAGACAAAAACAAACAAAAGGACCCGCTTGCAATTGCATGTGAGATTTTCATGGTGTGCAAATTTTCATCCCTTGAAAGTGGTCTTGCATCAATGTCATCCACTTTTTCAATCGCACATGGCTGCCACCTCAGCTTGCAACTCCCTCCATTTGCACCATTAGCGGCGGCGGATCTAGGGGTGCCGCCCCTGGGCCACGATCCAGCCATTCCCGGATTCAAAGCTCGTATAATACTTGTAAATTTTTGATTTTGGGTATATATTTAAATGTTTATAGGGTTACGGCCCAACCATCTCCATCACTTTTTAAATGCGGCTTATGGGCCGTTTACTTGCCATTCCATTTCTGTTAGCTGCCACAACAGAAAACAAAATTAAAATGAAAACGAAGCTGACCATTTCCTGGAAAACAAAACCTGAAAAAACCTTGTTTAGCTGAGAATTTTGGTGAGTTCTGAAACTGAGTTCTGAAAAGAAAACATGTTTAGTTGCTTCATTCTGTTTTCTGATTCTTGATTATCATACAACCCTAGCCATGATTATAATTTTTAATTCGAATTAAATAGTTTTTAAACTAATAAACACAATACAAGTACAACATCTTATATTAATTAAGTACTAGTACAACATAAAAATTCAAATAAGTCCAGCTTGAAAGTCATCCCACAACTTGTTTGCTATTCCATCTCGTCGTGCATCCATCGCTCGAGTTTGGCTTGAACTATGATTATATGCTTCTCGTTCTTGTCCTCCTTGCACTCCATTGGCATTCTCCCCCGTGCAATAATTTTGCCCACCATGTTGCTTCAATTCCTCACACAAACCGATAAGTGGTGAAGTTGTAGGGAAATCAACTTTGCATTTTCATGAAAGAGTGTCAATGGCAACTTAATATCAACAAGCTCCACTGTCGAAGTGGCTGACAAATATCAAAGAAAGAGAGACATTACTAGTGATTAAAAAAAAGATTCAATATACTAGCTTAATAGACATGCTATGGGTTCATGATAAAAGAAAGAAGTAGGCATCAAGTTATTAGATTAGATTGGAAGTAACGTGCAGGGTAAAAGGTTAAAAGAGGAAGAAGTTATCTCAAGATTTATATTTTGCACAATGAATGGAGTAATCCTTAGAGCCCAACTATGTAACAAGTGTTCAGAGTAAATTTTCACTTAAGCATCATACATTTTATCACTTGGACAGGGAAAAGAACAACATGTGCATTATTGTCAAAAATGAACTTAGAATTATGTAAGAAACTCCACGGGAAGAAATAAGACTTCACCTTCAAGATAGAGTGACGGAAATAATCCATATGGCGAAATAACAACTGGTCCAATCGGTGGAGTTTTCCCATCCTGTAAAACCAAAACAAAAATAAGCATAACATTGACTGAAAAAGATAATAGTAAGAGACAGTTAAACACTTGTGCCTCTTTGCATCACAGTCAAGCTATTGAGATAACAAACAACAGATTGTGTAGTGTAGTGTTCTTGCATTTCCACCATTAGTTCCAACTTCCAACTACTCCCCTTCTCATTCTGGAGTCGCAAAATTTAATTTTATTCACTTTCCAAAGCAAAATTAACAGACGAATAGATTCATGCCCAATTTTAATCATTGGTAGGTACTTGTAATTGATACGAATTCAATAACCCAAACAACACAAATACCAAAACCTAATTGCCTCTTACGAGGCCGATGACTTTAATTGAGATTGATCCACATCTCGCTTCTCCTCAATGCACACAACAACCACAAATTTCATCTCGTCATCAAAACTGAAGTTTCAATTGCTTGCTGACTCTGCCTCCTTCATGCTAGAAGAAGACTGTATAACAGAGAGAGAGTTCACCATAAATCCAAGTCAATAAAGAGAGAGAAAGAAATCAATTCACGAGTTCTTACCAGCGGACGAGAGTAGACAGATGCGGAACCGGGGAGACTGTAAATACTGGCAGAACCACGATTCCGCGAAGGTCAGACCTCCAGACGGAAGAAGGAGATCTGGGCGGCGATAGTGAGTTCATCGGAGTTGCAGGTAGACTGGACGAGGGTCGAAGCAGAGCAAGCAAAGATCTAGGTTTCAAGCTGCAAAGGTTCGAGAAGAAATCAGAGGATTGGGGTCTCGTGTGCGCGTGGTGATGTTAGGGTTCTTGCTGGAGAGTGGAGAAAAGAAAGAACTCGATTTTGGAAAGAAAAGGAATCGGGGACCAAATTTTTTTTTTTTAATCGAATTGGAAGAGCTTTTCAATAGCAAAAAATGGGGAAATGGAAAACCAATTTCCGGAGGTAGGCCAATTCAGGAAAAAGGGTAAAAAAGAGCGCTGTGGTGAATCGAACGCGGGCCGATTGAATGGATTAGTGTGTTTTCCGCTGGGAAACGGGGGCATAACCCGCGTCATTGTTTTCGGAAAACAGGTATTAATCGTTTTCCCAAAGCTTTCTCATTTGTAATAATTGGGTTTTTTCAGGGAAAATGGAATGGTCAAGTGAACACGTTTAAATGTCATTTGTTTCCTGATTTTCATTTTTTAAACAAAAAACAGAAAATGAAATGGGAAGTGAACAGGGCATTAGTATTCTAACCTGTTCTGGATCCACCGATGACATTAGAGATGCTCTTAGAGGCTGGAATTTGTTGGGACTGACGAGGAGAGAGAAGGTGAGGTATACGTTAGGGCGGATCATGTTCTCGCCGGAGATTGAAGCGAAAATGGTGATGTAGAGTCTAAGGAATGAGATTCTAAGGAATGAGATATCGCCGCCGCTGCTCATACTGGGCTTCAATGTTAAAAGCCCACTAGACACACATTGAATATCATTAAGCCCAAAACGAATTGGAAACCAACTCCGTCATCTCTACTACAGCCCGATGACCCGTGGGCCATTCACTCGTACACGAACCCAAATGCATGCATGAGGTATTTTACTTTTTTTTCTAATATTAATTGTAACATTACGAACCTTTTCCCGACAAGATACTGTCCACTTTGAGCCTCTACACCCGCAAGGATTTCAACTTCTACACCCGCACGGATTTCAACTTAGGGTGCAATTCAGGGTGACTTCCCATAAGGTCACCCATCCTTGTTGTACTCCACATTGAGCACGTTTAACTTCGGAGTTCTCACAAGAACTCCTCCATTACACCCCAAAACGCGTCTTGTCAGTTAAGACCGGTTTCCTACTTATGAACCATGGATCTCTCCCGTGCTTTGTCGATGTGAGATTTGCCTAAGGTGTTACATACACCCCCCTTGGGACTCAACGCCCTCGTTGAGATATGCCCCACCATCGTTCAAGAGGGACGCGAAGAGGCTCTGATACCACTTGTAACATCCCGAACCTTTTCCCGACAAGATACTGTTCGCTTTGGGCCTCTACACCCGCACGGATTTCAACTTGGGGTGCAATTCAGGGTGACTTCCCATAAGGTCACCCATCCTTATTGTACTCCACACTGAGCACGTTTAACTTTGAAGTTCTCACAAGAACTCTTCCATTACACCCCAAAACGCGTCTTGTCAGTTAAGGTCGGTTTCCTACTTATGAACCATGGATCTCTCTCGTGCTTTGTCGATGTGGGATTTGCCTAAGGTGTTACATTAATCGAGTATACACTAGAAAATAACTACTTTTTTTGTTGTTGTTGCTTTCATTGGGCGTGCCGGTTCTGAGGGTGTGCCAGCATGCCTTCGGCAAAGGGCCTCTAAAATTTTATGAATTTGCTTTTGATTATGGGTTTAAACAATAATATTAATAAAATTTAAGTACGAAGGATAAAGAAAGTAATGGATTATATGAGGAGAATACTTATTTTCTTATAAGAATTTTTTCAAACCATATAAAAGAACTTATTCTTTGATGTAATTGTTTTGTAAATAGAATAACAAAAGATGTAAAACTGTCGATGACTCATTATTAGCATTATTAAATTTGTTGCTTTAACTTTCTTCATTTTCAGCTTTTCGGGAGGAAAAGAATTCTTTCGTCAATTAATACTAGGGGAAAAAGGGTTACCTACATATATACATGCTAAAATAGATACTCAATCACTAAAATAAATTTACCATCCAATTTACTACGCGTAGATAACTAACCTCAGTCAACGACCATTAATGCTAATCAACTAGAAACCCTCAAATCAAGCTGTGGTGAAATCGAGCTGTAATGCTAATCAACTAGAAACCCTCAAATCAATCACCCCGTAATGAATTAATGAAAATAAGTCAAATCAAATCAAATCAGCAATAAAAATTAGTTAGAAAGCTCATCTGGCACTTTACAGTACTTAAGTAATTAATTACTTGATTTTCTCCATACTGGTAGGTGGATTTGCAAATCATTATGGGCTTATGGCATAATCGTTCATGAATTCATGGCTTCCTTCTCCCATGACAATATGGACGTTGATGCTTCAATTACTCCTTGTGATTCGGATTTCCACAAATTTCAGCTGGTGGGGATTCTGACAGCTTCAATCAACTGGCCGGTTACCTAAACTGAAATCGACAAGGATGAATTTTGTTGTCTCTTTAGCATCGTCCTTGTTTGTTTGCTGTTAATTTAGTTGGGTTCAATGGCAAAACAAGGATTTAAAAAAGATCACAGTAGCTTCTTGGAGTTGATAATTACTAGGGTTTTGAAGGAGGGGTGCTTACAACTTATACATTGTTGCCATAGTCCAGTTTCGTTTAACAAGATAATTCACATCTTCTAAAAATTCAAATACCGTGGGGCTCCATCGCGAATCGTGAGCTTACTATACTTAGCTTCGTCAATGTTGGGTTGGTTATTGAGAATTGGGGTCGCTGATTTCGTTGTCATTGAGTTGAAGACTACAAGAAGGTGACACCTAGCTAGGGATGACATTCCTAACATAACGTACCGGCCTACCGATTTCTTTTTGAGGCATGGATGAGTGTTACTTTGCCTTGGCGTAGTTTAACCCACCTCATTCTCAATCTATTTTGTCTAAATTATATTTTATTTACTCAAATTATTAATATTTTTTCTTTTATTACAACATATTTATACTTGATGGCCGTTTCTACATCAAGGAGTTTGCCTATTTTTTCAATCACAGTTATTACATGGTTCATCCTTTAAAGCTTCTGAACTCCTCGTAAAAAAAACAATGAAGTGGGGGAACTCTTCTTAGCCTTAGGTGCAAAAATTAACAGTCCCACACCTCCACAAGATTAACCATCAAAGGGAAAGGTTCATGAATGAAAACAGATCGACCGAAATCCAACTAATTACCACAATTCGCCAATAATATGCTATGAAGAATTTGAAAACATGTCATGATATCGCTAATTAAATCGATTTATTGTTTGTTCATATCTATTTTTTTTTAAAAAAAATTAAAGCTCCGATTTTTGCATAGTTTAAGTCACGGAATTGATTTGGCAAATCTTTTAATTTCATCATGATACTGCATCTGCTCCGAATATATTCAACTGATAATGTAAGCTATAGTCTGTCACTGTCTCCATTATTATTAGTCTTCAAGGTATAGCCAGCTCGATCGAGCAATTGCCATAAAAGAACTCCCTGGAATTTCTTCTATTACAATTTACAAATGTAAACCAAAACTTCAATGAGAAAAGGAATTAAGAAGGGGAAATAATTCAGAGCCCATACTACAGTTGAAAATTTCTGGAGTTTGACCCAAAGAAGAAGGGGAAATCCACGTGTACACATATACTTGCATGATCTACAAACACAGCTGGACATGCAGGCAGACGTGGCACCATTCTTATCTCTCCACGTCGGTCGCGGAATACCGCTTCGCCTCTTTGTTTATTGCTATCACTCGGGGAAACGAATAATGGCGAGGAGGATTCAGCGTTGGAAAGACCGGAAAAATAAAAGGGTATTCAACAAAATGCTGGAAATGTTTATTCTAAAAAATCCTTTTGTTGTGTAATTTATTACTAAAAATTAGAGAGCAACAGCATTGCAGGGCTTGCTTACAATCGACGGTCAATTAAACCAACTACGTACTTTTTCAAGATAGATATTCCCCATTCTCTACGACTAGTCTAGTCTCGAGGAAAAAAAAATAAAAAAAATTCAACCAACTGAGAAATTAATTTAGTTTTATTTTCCATCCAATTGCGACAAATAAAATAGATTAAAAGAAAAATGATTGTCCCCTTTCGTACAAAATAATATACATAGTGAGACCAAAAGAGATGGGGGAAAAAAAGAGGCGACTTGTCGGCATCCCAGATTGCCACAACTTGCTCTGCCCGGCTGCCACCGTATGCCATTCATACTATCAATTATTACGGCATTATCATCTTCACATTAATGGCTTCCTTGACAAAAGTGGCCATACCAATCCCCAAAGTGTCACAATTTTTTATTGTGTTTGAACTAGGAAATGGTACGTTGGATGGCGAGTGGTGTAGTTAGAATTTTATTTAAAAAGGTGATATAAATATCAAAATTTTACACTTAATGTATCCCACCAAATAATTATTTTCAACTTCAATTCACTTGGTGTGAAAGGTTGGTCAATCTTTTCACTGCACAAAATGTTATCATCGTGTGCATTGACAACTAACAGTAGCAAATCTAATCATTTTTTACAAGCAAATACATTGACGAGAACAAATTTTCTCTTTCGTTTTGTCATTATCATAAATTTTTTATGAATTCCTCTAATAGTTTGCCCTTCTTAGTTCTCATCCATATTGATAAACTAGAATGTAAAAATGTTAAAAAATAGTAGATTAAAATAATTTATAGGTTTGTTATGGTTTGATGATAGAACATTTGACGATTGACATTGAAATTAAAGATTCAAATATCACTGTTAACACATTAATATTATTAATATTTTGTGAATTTCTCCAAATTTAAGGGGATGCCATGGAATCCTCTTCCTTGCCCCTAGATCCGCCCCTGTGGGTGGCTATCTCAATATTAATATTTGTTCTGTGACAGGTCAGAATGTCGGATGTAAGTAAGGTATTACGTTCTGGAATGCAGGTTGAGACAAGTCGACTCATATGTGTATTTATTGTAACAGAAAAACACTTGACACATTGATTTCCCATGAAAAAATTTGACAAGTAAAATATAAGATGATAAGTGTAGTTAAATTATTTAAGAAATTGAGGATCTCATTAATTTACAAATTTATTATAGCTAAAGTATGATGTAATCAAAGTAAAATCTTAAGTAATTTCTGTAAATTTACATATAATATACACAATAACGGGTCAAGAATTGGACAGTCCAGGGTGGGTCAGGTCGAGGAAGTACAAATGCACGTCTTGCCCCGCCGACGAGATGATATTACCCGCTCCAAAACAGGTCGAATAGGAATGATCATATCAAAATTGTCATCCCTAATTTGAACGTACTCATAAGGTTGCATGATTATTGAATTACACACTGGACGCTTTATGATTGTTGAATGGAAGTGTTGATAACCATTCAAAAGTCACGATACATCCAAAGTATAATTTGATACGTAGGCATATTATAACAATATTTTTGTATGTGACATTCACGCATATTTAACTCGTATATCTTAATTGGGTTAAATTTTTTACATCATAGCTAAGATGTCATCCATCATATATCGTATAGTATTTTACTCATTTCTGTCTCGTCTTTATTTCCTTATTTGGTCTTTCGTCGTTCAATTGTGAGTTTATATGAATATTGTGCTTCTCTATTTTGCATTTTGCTCCATTGTGGATAATGATTATGGCAAGGCAGTGAAGGATTCGTGAAAGTAAATTCTTGCATTGTTTTGTCAATAATGGGAGCTACAAAATGTGAATGTTAGTGCAAGTAGCACGACTTCCTTTTTTGCGTCAATGGTATCAATCAGTTTGACTTTATTATTAAAGGAGCTAGCTATATTTATCAGACAAGGTATGTTCAATCCTTCTATAATTTGGTTGGATTGCGGTTTGACTTTATTTTGTATTTGATGTTACAGAAAGATCAAAATACAGGGACAATAAATGCAATGTTCATCTTAAATTTTTGGTATATATATGGTGGTTTCCGAACAATAAATATTTGGAGCATAGAAGACAAATTCATGCGAACGGTTCAACTAATTGTTTTTGTAGTTATAGTCGTTGTGTTTTTTTAGTTGTAGGACTACAACTCTGTACGGAAATTTTAGAACTCATAGTTAGCAACTTACGGGCGTTTGCTTCATGGATTTGAAAAATGAGGGTTTTGGTAAAATCTGGGTTTTGGAAAACCATGGATATATGATGGATTTGGTGGCATTATGGATTTGAACAAGTCTATTGTTTGCTTGATGGATTTGCTTATGGACTTTGTTTGATTAGATTTGTGGATATTAAATACAAATTACCTAGTTACCCTTATTTAATTATATTTTTATATTATAATCCAAATCTTTCATTTAAAACTAATCCAAAACATAGAAATAAATTTTAAACTCTTTACCACTATGTGGATTAATAATTCAACTACAAATATAGAAATGTATTACAATTTGGCACTAATTAACAATTCATCTTGGCACTAATTAAAAATTCATCTAATAATCCTTCATAAAAAAAACAATTCATCTAATAATGTACGCAATATTATGTATCAATTGCAGTCAATTGCTCGCTTTATTGCTACAACTCATCATCTTCTTGCTAACTCACCGATGTGGAATCTGACAATCAATCAAATAATAATGTACAAGATGAGCATAAAGTGTTTCTAGGTGAATCTAACAAATCACATATACATTCATATTTAAATAAAATACGATATAACAAAATGAAATGATAACTTCTCATATTTATAAAATACGAAATTATAAAAGTTTACAGTTGCATGATCATTGAATTAAAGTAGGACAAATTTGTAATTAAAGAAATAATTAAGGGTAGAAAGGTAATTTACCATCATGGATTGTAATCCATCACCCAAATCCCACCTCAAAAGGTGGAACTTCCAAGTCCGTGGGGTCCACGGATTTGGAACCCCAAAAGTGGTGGGCCCCACAAATTCCATCTCCCTAATTCCCTAAGGCAAACGATGGATTTCGGTTCAAGTCCATGATGGATATATTTCCATGACCAAATCCATGACCAAAACCCTCAAGCAACTCCCTATATATATAGGTAGGGAAGGCAAAAAGAACTCAATATTTGGGTAATATATGCACAAACTTAACTTACTATGGGTCGAATTAAGTTTGAGTAATTTTACTTCTGATTCTCACCCACGCCTTATTGGGTTTTTTTAGTCTAAAATTGTACCCACATTATTGGAAGTTCAAAAAAATATGGGTATCTGACTAGAATGCAATTTTTATATTACTATTTTTTGTTATGAAACAAATAGAAAGGTGGAATGCAAACACCTACATGAAAAGTGTATAATTGGATAAGTGGCGGATCCAAAAAATTTACATAGGGGTGTCCTCTCCTAAAAATTTAATTAATTAATAAGAAAATATCCGATTTGTACAAAATACAATAAAATACATTGGCATGACGTGTTTTGTATTATTGAAAAATTGTAAAATACAACATTTGAGTCTAGCCAAAAACGAACTAACCCATATAGGATCCAATTTAAACCCAACTCAAACCCAAAAACATTGAAAGTGCATAATGGGTTCATCTGAATCTGACTCAATACCCATACAGATCATGCCAATTACATCAAATTACCCAACAAATCGATTCATTACCATGTCTCTACCTATAGAATTAGCACACTCCCCAAACACAATTGGAATACAAATCATAATCTTTTTGCCCCCCTAACCTAAGTCAATCTTTGCATGCCCTTAATTACACCCTCTTAATTCTCATCCATCTAACTCCCAATATTCACCCACCCTAGCTATTACACATCCATCCATCCATCAATAATCCAACTACACCAATAATAGTAATTACCCCCAACCCTCCCCTCTTTGACCCTCCAAAACAACCCCACCCCACCCTCCTACACCTCTCTCCCACCACCCTACTAATTTATTCACAACAATGAAAACAAAGGAAGCCACCCCTACAATATTTTCACACTAGCCAATCCAATCCAATCCCCATGTTCACACCCACCTTCCCCTCCAAACCCAAAAAACCATAATATAAATAACACCTAAAACCCAGCCGCCTTCCTCCCCCAATTCCAATAACACCAACCAATTTCCTCTCTCTCTCTCTCTCCCTCTCTCTCTCTCTAGCTAATTAACCTTCCCTCCTTGTACAATATGGAGAGCTCACCGGCCGGCGGGAAGTACTCGACCCAAGCCATGATGGACGGCGTCGAACGGCCGAGCCCGAGCCATGCCAATATTCATAACCACAAGGGGCTGCGGACCGGCGAGCTGGCACTGAGAGCCGGCGCCCTGTTGCTGACCTTGGCCGCCGCCATCGTGCTCGGGATCAACAAACAGACCAAAACGGTGCCGGTTCAGATCATCAGCACCATGCCTCCGGTCAACGTCCCCGTCTCCGCCAAGTGGCACTACCTCTCCGCCTTCACGTAAGTCCTCATCTCCGCCGCATCGTATCGGAGGTTATACCGAAAAGAGTCATTAATATCGTACAAAAATCATGGTTTAATCTTTTTCTACAGTTAAAACTTCCTATCGGTATGAGTTCGTTATTCGGTATTTTCATTCATACCGGGGTAGGGTTGTAAAACATTGGTTTTGAGCGAAAACCGTGGTATTGTACCGGATTTGCATCGAAAAAGTTAGTAATATGATATTTTATATTGGTTGGGTCGTTCCCTCCTGCTAAAAATCGTATATCAATTCAAATTTTGATAGAAAATTTTCTCGTTCGAACGGCTGGTACGATACGATTTTATAAACATTCATTTTGGACTTTTGTGTTCGAATTAATTCTTTGGTCCCTCAATTATCGACTGGAATGCAAAATTACGTTTTGGTCACCGGATTATCTTTTTATCATGTAATTGATTTGTGGTGGTGGTGTGGGTTCAGGTTTTTCGTGGTGTGCAATGCGATAGCCTGCGCCTACGCTTTCTTTTCCCTCCTGCTGGCCTTGGTGGGGAGGAAGGGAACCGCGGCGGCGACCGTGATCCTCGACCTGCTGACGGTGGCGCTGCTGTTCGCCGGAAACGGGGCGGCGACGGCGGTGGGGCTGATCGGGTACAAGGGGAACACGCACGTGCGGTGGAACAAGGTGTGCAACGTGTTCGACAGGTTCTGCCACCAGGTGGCGGCGGCGCTGGGGCTGTCGCTGGTCGGGTCCGTGCTCTTCGTTCTGCTCGTCCTGGTCGCCGTCGTGCGGCTTCACCGGAAGTATTGAGTGTTGACTAAGCTGATGAAAACGTGGTGCTCTTTTTTTCTTCTTCTTTTTTTGCGTATTTGTTGTTGGATTTTTTTTTCTTTTGAAATTCTAGTCTTTGTAATTTGTATGCTGTAATTGTGTGAAGAAATTAAATTCGTTTGATAGCCGATGATAATTGTTAGTTTTTTTTTCAATTAATGTTACATTTCTTTCTAGTGTAAGAGTGTGGTATAAAATCCAGCAGAAACTTCTCCCAACAACCCGAGTTATTGGGACCAACTGGTTCTTGACATGGTATCATAGTCTAAACTGAAAGGTCAAGTGTTCAAATCTCCACAACCCTCAATATTAACAGTTTATATTAAAGCACAAGGTATGGTGACTGGTGAGCCTATGCAAACTTCAAGCCCAACGGTTGGTTTTCATTTGAGGGGTCGTTTAAGAGTGTGGTATAAGATCCAGCAAAACCTTCTCCCAACAACTTGAGTTATTGGGACCAACCGGTTTTTGACATCTAGCCCTTTTTTATGTCTGAAATGCTGAATCTCTCTCTCCCTCTCTTCTACATCTGATCTAATATGATTCGAGGTGAAAGATGCAACATCTTTTCATGATTGAATGTAAATTTTGAAACAAAAAAGCTAATAAACTCGTCTTGTCATTTTCTAATATTTTTACTAGATTTTAACACGTACATTGTAACTTCATAGAGTTGCAAAGACGATTTCATAGTAGATTTTCTTTTTTAAAAGACGCAAGACAAACATTTGGATTTCAACATTAATATTTCAAAATTTCTTTTAAAACTCTATCTGAACTTATTAATAATCCAGATTAGGACACTCAGGATCGAGTTTTTAAAACATTGTATTTCGATGGCACCCCCCTAAACAAAAGGGAAATAATGGATATGCAAAGATCATTGACCTTGGGGAGGATAGGCTGTAGGTGGCATTCAATGTCCAAACGAAAGATTTGAGTAAATGATATGGTTGCATGATTGCTTATACTGTATTTGTTTTTCTCCTTTTGTTTTTTCCTCTTCTTTTTGAATGAAAACAACTTCTCCACGTCCATCGCACTCCGCCAGCCAGCAACTAAACATAAATGCACTCTGATATTCAACCTCGGAATTAGGAGGTCGAAATATTAAGAAACTACACCTAATTTTTGCAATAAATTAGCGAATTAAGCCCAACCCAAATGTTGACCCAAAATCCAAAGAAAGAGGAGGCCCACTGAGCTAGTTGGGCCGGCGTCTTTATTCAGACTTCAGAGGCTCAAGCTTTTTTCTCAGAAATCATTGAATTGGAGTGAATGCTACCCTCCAGGAAGAAACTAAAACAGGCTGCCAAACTACAAGATTGGTGATACTGCCCTAACTGAAAAGAATACATGGGGATATAGGTCTCAGTATACAAAATGGTTCGCAGACTGATTCTGGAAAATAGCAGCAGTACTTCAGCCCGCGTCGATTTAGATTCAGGAGCTCCAAGGCCAACTCAGGTCTCCTTTTTCGAATTCTGGTCTCGATTGAGATCTCCTGAAACTTTGTTGCGGCTTCACTGTAGCATTTCTTCCTTGCTGGTTAGGTTCTCTAGATCTACACTCACCTCTAAACCTGTGTTTAGTAGGGCGCTGATCATGGCTGGGATGTCGGACTTCAATGCAGCTGCTAGTTCCTGCATTGATATCCAACAGACTTAAGGGCAAAGACTAGTGCGTTTGAAATTCACGTACACAAGCTACAATGCCGAGTAAATGACAAATACCTTTCTTTTGTCCTCCGGTTGGTGCTTCACTACATCCAACGGCCACTCGCTAGCTAACTTCTGGAGTTCAACCATGATGCCCGACTTCTTGGTTTCAGGTAAGGTCTGCGAGTGGAGCACAAACTTCAAAGGTTGAGTCCAAATGGTGTGATTTTCTTATTTGATTTTCCTTTATTGATTCTTGACAAACAATTTCATGAACATATGTCCATCGACTAGGTACCTCATTTAAGACTTGAATGATCGAGGCAGCTTCCTGGGGTTTACGTCCTAGTATCAGACCCTGAAAATTTAGCTTCAGTTAAAACTTGAAAAGCATACTGAACTCTAAGCCTCCCACCCTCTTCCTCTTGTTTCTCCCCTACGGGGATGTCCAAAAGGCACTGTAATTTCAAGAAAGATAACAGTGCATAAAAAAAAAACCTTGTATATTTGATTACCTTAGCACAAGAGAACCCAGTGACAAGGCTGAGCTGCTTCATTGACTTAGATCGCAGCTTTTCAACGTCCCACAGTGCTTCTGTATCCCCTATTTTACACAAGCATCATAAAGACCTTGTCAGCGAAGTAACTTGAATTGAAGCATGATAGACATCAAAGGAGGTTAATATAAGTTGTTGCTATTCATGGAATGGCTTCTACACCATACATGAGCTTGTAAATATCAGATGATATTGTACAGAAACAATCTAAAGTAAGAATCCAGATACATCCATGCCAGTGACCTATTACAACATAAACACCAGAAACTACCCGTTCTTTTCTCTCAAAAGGCAATAATTGATTCCCAAGGCAGAACACTAGGACTAATTCGGAACAACAACAGGAGAATCGAGAGTTTTGCGTGCACCTTTTTTGGCAGCAAGATCCATCGATGCATCAAAAGCAGCTGTTCGTAGTTGAACTCCAGCTTTGACAAACTTCTTGAAGTATTTTGCCATCAACTCCAAATTACCCACGTTATTACAGATGCTGTGAATACCAAACCCATATGAAATAGCAAAAATCAACAATGAAGAAAGCATCAAAGCAAAATCACACCAGAATGCCTTAAATACAATTCAGAGAGTGCCATGTTTATAAGCAACAGAAGGACACAGTTTGAACAGTTCAGTCGCCACACCTGAAAACAATATCTGCTGTACTGGGTTGTAGTGGCACGTCGTTCTTTTTCAAGAGCCCCATTATTTCAACCATTAGTTTCACATCATTGTGAACCTTAGCATATTTCTGCAGAATAGGAGCATGGTTAAACACGAACAACAGCAATAAGCACCCCAACAAGAAAGGTTAAGTAGCATATATCAAAGTCAGATAATAATCTACCAGTAAATGATTGGCAGATGCAACACTAGGAGTTAATCCATACACATTATGCTTCCAAAGGGTCTTCTTTCCTGCAGATTGTGGACTACTCAGTCATGTAGACACAGACATACACAACAAACTCATAAATCGAAGAAACAAACTTAAAATAAACTTCAATTCGGAAATTAAGAACATAACTTCAATCGAATAAGACACATACCAAAGTCGATGGCCCCTGCTCGAGCACAAGCCTTGGCAATCTCACGGCAGAGATTGCAATTGAAATTATCATGAATTCGGAGATTCGAAAGGCGCTGCAACCAAAAATCATCTCATCAGTATCAAATTCTCGCAACAAAACGAGCAAATGAAGCTTTGATTCAGGGAAAAAGGCACTAACAAATCTCCGGATATTCTCCAAACAATCAAACAAAAGCTCAATATCTTTGTGGCTTTCACATTTCTCAATCAGCGACCACAACCAGGCGTTGGGAGACATCGTCCTCTTAGTATTGACCGACTCGAGAATCTTCTCGTGAAACTCTTTCACGGCCTCTGGGATTCATGGCAGCACAAAACCAGGGGGAAAAGAGATTCACTATACAGCCTCTCAAAGCCGTCAAACAGAAGAATAAGGAAATTGCACAGGATAGATCAAGAAACCTGTAGGAGCGATTTCGGCGTTATTCGATTCCGTCGAGAAATGAGCCTTCGCGGTGTAATGGCCTTGAACAAAATTGGAATCGAGTTTCAGCATCTCAAATGGAGGGGAAAACAAGTAGCAAGAGCGGGTAGTGGAAGGGTACCAGGGAAACGAATGGAAGAGAAGGTGGTGTCGTGCAGTTGGTGTAGCCATGGTAGACAAGCCGCCTGCGGAGCAGCGAGGATCCGGGACTCGGAGGAAAAGTTCCGGCAGCCGGCTGCGGAGTTGAGGAGAACCGAAGACTTCAAGAGACGAGCGAACTGTCGGCCGCCGGAGAAGACTTTCATGGCTTCGAATCTGATTCTGGCGACGGCGGGTGGAGAGACGGGAAATTAGTTCCGGCAGGAAGACGAACGACGTCGAGTGCTGAGCTAACTGAGAGACTTGCGTTACGATTAGGGTTTAGGAAGAGAGTGGTGGACTAATTATGAATTAATTGCCTGTAGTGGCGGACCAGGATTGTCCTCTGCACCACCAACGGTCATTTTGTAATTTGTCCCTGATGTTTCCAGGATTTTCAATTAAGTCCTCCAACATCTACAAATAGTGGCGGACCAGGATTGTCCTCTGCACCAGCACCACCAACGGTCATTTTGTAATTTGTCACTGATGTTTCCAGGATTTTCAATTAAGTCCTCCAACATCTCCAAATACTTCTCTTTTTTCTTCTGATTTCATATCGAATGTGAATTTGGTAGTGATCCATATCCATTATTCCACAATTTGCATTCTTATAACATTCACAAGGCTGATACTGCAACGAGTGTGCAACGAGTTGATCCATACCGTACCATATTAAAACTTGACTACTTGATAAATCCCGTATCGAAACAAGAACTTGATTCATTTTTCATGTTGCTGCTGTATAAGAGTTTATACATGGAACCCAGAAACATACAGTTCAACTAGACTGGGCAACAATCAATCAAAACACTCCACAATCTGGAGATGGAAAGAACTAATGGCCTGGCAAGAAACCAAGTTTCTGAGGTGCAGGGAATGAAGTTCGAGCAAACTTCAATGGTACAACAACAAAAGAAAATTCACATCCGAAAACCACAATGTTACAGCAACCAATTTGGTTTCCAAGACAGAAATGGTTGATTACAACAACAATGTCATCCTTCTTATCTCAATCTCCCTGGCCCTCGCTTCCAACTAATCCATCATTGCTGCGGAAGAACAGGAGGTCTAATGGTTCTCGTGTTATATGACTTGCAGTGGCTGCACTTCTGTCCAATTATGTGGAAGTTGACCTCTGTAGTGTCGTTGCAGTCATTGCATAGGATCCAAACCTGGTGACAGAAAAAGATCCAGATGTTCATTTTCATAACCGGCTCAATCGGCAGAAAGATGGAGATCAAGTGAAAGTAAATCGGTCCCACCTTTTTGTTTCGGTAGTCCTCTGGCATGACTGTTGCTTCGATCTGCAGATAGCAAGAGAGAAGTCTTCTCAAGAACTAGCCGTAATGAAATACGATTGAGCTGGGGATATTATGACACTTACCTCCTCGTCTATGTTTTTCCAAGCCTTGGACATGTCAATGACTGACTTTGAACATATTGGACAACAGTATCTGCCATAGAAGATGATGAATCATATAATATCCTAAACCCAGAAACGAGATGGGCAACAACTGAACTGAAGTGGGGGCAGGGGACAGATGCTTACTTGTCGTGCCTCATCATTTCATCGCGACATTCACGGTGCATTGTGTGCCCACATAACATTACTATAGTCTCCTTCATGGAGTCAAATAAGTACTACATAAACCGGATACATGGCAGCATTCAGTAATGGCAGAAACAACATATAACTCATGTATATCGGTTGGAAGAGTTTCTGTCGCATGCCAACCTCGTAGCATATTGGGCAATGGTGGCGCATTGAGTTCTCCACGCACGAGTGATTGTCTCGGAGGGAAATCGAATAGCAAGAACCTGAGCAATTCAGTGGAGATTATCAGGCATAACATTCACCAGCAAAGAGAGGTCCCAACAGTGCAGAGAAAAGGGAAGGTGATGGTGAAAATCCAAGATTCAGAAGTAAAACAGCATACCGCACTTCTTGCAGTGGTAGAAGTTCTCACGACCACCAACTCTGTAACAGTTGAAAGCGAATTACTGGATGAGCATCTTGGTATATGCATACGTGATACTTCCTATGGAATATGGAATGGGAAAGAATAGATGAGAGAAAGAGAGTGGAGAAACTAGGCCAACCTGCAGATACCACAATCATCACAGTGAAACTGCCCTTTCTCGATCTGCAGCAGTTCAATCAGGACATTAATCAATACCACAGATCACCACATGCGCATATGTATATGGCGAATTAGGACGAACTAGATCAAGAATAAGGATTTACATCATCATCGAAGAATTTGCATATTCCACAGAAGTATTCCCCCATGTTGACACCACAATTTGTACAAACTTGGGCAACCTGAAACATAAGTGAAAAGCATTGGAATACTGATCCGAATCCATAATTTGAAGAAACAAAAAGCTCTGAATTCAGAGAGTCCAGGAACAAGTACCGGCTGCTCTGTGTCACAAACTTCACATACAACCTGGAATATAAACAATTCAGCAAATGATACTCACTCAGTCATTCCACCAATTTGATCCAAAATCAATAAAAAAGATAAAAGAGTTTCAAAAAAATCCACATACTTGCTTGACATCACACCGATCTAGCTCGTGGTGATCACAGGGGTTCTTCAACATGCTCTAAGTAAATCAAATCAAAGGGAACAAATTACAACCTAATAACCAGCACCCGAGTAAACATACGTGCTTCCAACAGAAATTTGAACAATACAAAGGTAATAGGAAATAGAGAGACTGGAAAAAATTGCTGGCTAAATCCAGAAATGCAAGGGAAGAACCAAGCATCCCATTACACAAGACTATTCGAGAGCAAAGAAACAAGAAGGTTGGAGAAAGAAAGGATCATAAATACCGTAGCCTCGTTGTGGCAATGGCGGCAGGAGAAAATTTCATTGCAGCAAGGTGCTCGAATCTTGCATCTCCTCCTGTAATGCTCGCATCTGCAAAAGATGAACACACAAAGACTCCCATCAGAACCAAAGCCATGCGTCTAGCAGACCTGACCGAATTAATGGGATGATTGTGTAGAGATGTTACCCATAACCCATCTTCCCAAACCCAAGGCGTTCATTGGACGGAGCGGCGCCCTCCATGAGCTTTGGGAAGAGATGGATTACTGGAAAACAGAGCGAGCCAGAGATGGGGGAAGAACAGAGAACCAGAAAAAGGAAGGTGCCCTAAACCAGTTTCCTGAAAAGGGAAGAAAGAAGGAAGGATTGGGATTTGGTTTTGGTATTGGTCAGTCCTTTAAAGAATCCTCCCCTCCAAAAAAAGAGGTAAAGGAGACGACCCATCATAGAAATTCGGGATAATTTATAAAAATAAAGCTAAAAGCCACCATCTTTCCTCACAGAGCTCTCAGAGAAATGAATACCTGAATATTATAATACAAAACATAGATGGATATAGATCATAGATCAAATCAACCCAACCCCATTTGGCCACTTGGTAGAGAGAAGATAAGGTGGTGGTGTGGGGTTTGTCAGTGACGGCTTTGCTTCTGCGGTTCTGCCCGCGTGGGCGAGATGACTTGTAATTAAAGACAGGCGGGCACCCTGTTCGGAGTAAATTGGTTCAGACATTTTCACAAACAGTTTGCCTGCCTTCATCGGATAAAAGCTCTTCCCTCAACGATTACAACAACGGGAATGAATCTAACCCAGTGTCGATTCCGAACAGTCCAAAAACGAGACCTGCCGGCGGCGACGCCGTGGTTATGTGAAAGACTCGATAAGTTGCTGGATTTTGAATATTACAGGTAGCAAAAAAATGGAGGAAATGATAGTGGCGTGTTTCTTCGTCAAACTCTCACCTTCTCATCCAATCTCATGGCCGAACTGATCAGCAGTCTTATCATGTGGGGAAAATGGAATCCTAGCTTGTTTGCTCTGAATTCTGATAATTTTGCACCCGCCAGAAAAAACCGAACGCATTGTTGTCTGGTTCGCCATCCCGATTTGGAGAGAGTGACCATATCGATCTTTTGTAGAATGTTTTTTTTTTCCTTTTTCCATAGCATCATTTGTAGAATGCTTTGCGTGGAAATTAGGGGAAAATGAATGTGAGATTTTTTAGTACAAAAATCTGTCTATCTTCTTCTATCTATCTATGGCAACAACTAAGGTACCGCCACTGCATCAGTGCCGCCATTGTATTAGCCGTGCGATAAACCACATTAAATCGTGACCTTTGATTCAGACCCACCACTTAACCCGAACAGGTTGAATCTAGTACCTTTGGTTTACTCATTTTCGAACCCAAACTCGTTTTTATAATTATTTTTCACTGCGATTTTTTCGTTTACCCAAAACAGAGAGATCGTCGAACAGTTTACCATCTTCTTCCACTGATCGTCGGGGAGCCAACACCAGCGATCGCTATCGAGTTTTGGACTGTTTCATTGGGATTTGAAATTGATATCAATTCAACTTTGTTCTATTTCTCTTACGATTTGGCTGTATCTCGGTATCATCATCCCCGTCGCCCCTGGAGTTCTTGTCGGTGCGATGGCAGAGCCCGCGGCAAGGATGACCTTGCTCTTACAATTACAAGAATTGAAAGGAATTATGAGGAAGTATGATTCATGCCTATTCATGTTTTGTCCCCGTTTGACTTAGATGTTTGTGTCAAATTTGCCCATTAAAGGTTGGTTTTACGCGAGGTTCTTCGTATTTGAATGTGTTTCAGGATTAAACAGGTGAAACAAGCCTTGGAGTTGAATGATTGGCGAAAAGGATCGAAAACTGGGAAAAGAGGTGAAACAGAATCAGTTCACGGCTAACGGAAGGAGTTCACGGTTGTGCAAGACCGTGAAGAACGAGGCTTAACCGTGAATCGCAAGGCGTCCAGAGCCAATGTGAAGGTTACTGACGCAAGGTGAGTTCACGGTCACTAAGACCGTGAACTGCCGTGAGCGATGCGGAGCCTTTTTGGCGCACGACGTGAGTTCACGGACGCGTTTGATGGTTCACGGTCGTGAACTCAGCTCTTCTCGGGTTTAAAAGCTGAACTGCAAGGAGGAGAGAGGGGAGAGCCACTTTTGTGAGAGAAACACGGTTAGAAACAAGGTTTCTAACGGGTTTGATAATTGGGATTTAGGGATTTGAAGAATAGAATTAGGAATTAAGAAGTAGAATTTGGGAAGAACGAGAACGAATGGTCGGCGGCCGGATTAGGGAAAGAAGAGAAATTGAGAGGATTGGGAGAGAATAGGGGTTAGGGATTTTCTTAATATGCTTCTTATTGATTCTGAATGGAAGCCCAAAGTACACATATATAGGAAATAGTGGAAAACCCTAACAATAAACCTAATTCTATTAAATGACTACTAACCTTATTGATAATTACCCTAATAATAATTATAGTAATAAATAGAGAAACCCTACAGAAATCGATTTCTAACATCTCCTCTCCCTTCAGACCAACCTTGCCCTCAAGGTTGAACCACTTGACCCACTTCTTCCAACCTTCTCGCCCAATCCGATCATCGCTTCTCCATTGCTTGCACTTCCTTTTCTTCCAATCACGCTCCATCTTTTAAATTGGGCTTCTCACACCACTCTTCTTGTGCTGATTTAACTTTTCGAGTTTCACTCCTATGGGCCCACTAATTGCTTCTCTGAAAAATTCTAACAACAACTCCTCCTTCAAAATCGGCCCAACCACATATAATAGAGTCCTTGTCAGATTGTAATTGGGCGGCCCATGCGAAGCCCTTCTTGGCTCCACCCTCCCCGCTTCCTCGACCCATTGTAGTCTAAACTCCAGCCCATCCTCCGATCTTCTCTTGGCCTGCTTCATCCTCCACCGCAGCCCACATGCTCCCATTAGATTCAGCCCATCAAGGTCAGCCCGAGATGACCCAAAGCCTACCCTGTCAGTCCCGGAAGCCCAGGGTGGCGACCAAGGATTTGCGAGGGGTGGAACCAAGCCGCCACCAATCTCCTTCTCTGTCTTCTCCTTCCTCGCCGTGTTGTCCTCCCTCATTGGCATCGTCCTCCTCGTCTCTGCTGGCAAGCCTTTGACTAGACCGACAGAAGGAAAACTCGACCAGTGGCACCCCACCTCCGCCTCCGCTTTGTGATGCCTAGGGTTGCCGCCACCGAGATTTGCAATGACCACAACTGTGATCCCCACCTCCATCTCGCCATCTGCCGGAGCTGCTTCCTCAACATCCAACAACAACTCTTCCTCCTCCGCGGCGCTTGCTACTTCGGTCTCCTCGACGTCGTAGTTCGCCGCGGCTCTCGTCGGCCTTGCCAGCCTCTGCGGTTGGCGGCTGCCTCGCCGTCACGTCGTCACCTCCATCCTTCAAGTCAGCCGTCCCACGACGCAGCTCGTAGGCCTTCCAATATTCCACGATATTCCATAGTTTTTCCTGCTTTTGAGCCCACGACAACTCCGAAGGTTTTGGTGACCATGTCGTCTCGGGTCGCTGCTCCCCAGCCTTCGCGTCGCGCTCGGCCAGCTGCGGAGGTAGTTCTCCGTCAGTCTCCTTGGGCATCACTTCCTCCTGCGTGATCGGTAGCTCCTCGGGGATCCAACGACGTCCGATGCGGCGGGCCTGTTCCCGCAGTTCCGCCCATGACAGGTCCGAAAGCCTTGAAGAGCTCATCGTCGAACCAATTGAAGAACTCGTTCCCGGTTGAGAGTTGTGAAAAACTCAATTCTCGAAACCGAGCTCTGATACCAAATGTTAGAAACAAGGTTTCTAACGGGTTTGATAATTGGGATTTAGGGATTTGAAGAATTGAATTAGGGATTAAGAAGTAGAATTTGGGGAAGAACGAGAAAGAATGGTCGGCGGCCGGATTAGGGAAAGAAGAGAAATTGAGAGGACTTGGGAGAGAATAGGGTTTAGAGATTTTCTTAATATGCTTCTTATTGATTCTGAATGGAAGCCCAAAGTACATATATATAGGAAATAGTGGAAAACCCTAACAATAAACCTAATTCTATTAAATGACTACTAACCTTATTGATAATTACCCTAATAATAATTATAGTAATAAATAGAGAAACCCTACAGAAATCGGTTTCTAACAAACACCTTCTTCAGCATTCTAGTGAGAGAAACAAAACCAAAAGAGAAGAAGAGGTTAGGGCTTGGCTTCAAAAGAGATTTTGGGAAGATTTTCCCAAGGATATCCCAGCTCGAGGTTGAAGAAGAGAGGAGGCATCCCCAAAAGATGGTTTTCACCTTTTCCCCTTTTGTTCTTCCCACTTCTTCCATGGAGTACTCCTCCTTTCACTTGGGTGTAGTGAAACCCTAACTCTACCATGTAGTTTTCTTGTATGTGGTTTGGATGATTGATATTGGGTATTGTTCAATTTAACGTTTGAGGCATTATTCACCATGATTTTGCATGCTTGTGCTTAGCAACTTAGGGGTTGTGCATATGTTGTGCTTAGCATCCTAGGAATTTTTCATAATTGTGCTTAGCACCCCTAAGTTTGTGCATTTAGGTGCTAGTAATCTAATTTGCCAACTTAGCCTAGTTTAGAGAGGAAATTCCCCCTTTTCAAGGGAGACTCAATCGAGTTGGTTTTCCTTCCGCTTTCCAAGCCACCTAAACTAGGTTGAGTTAGGAAAACCCTCAATATTGAATTGAACAAGTCGATTAATCGTGGTCAAACCGTCCGACCTTAGAGTTGAGTGAGGAAGTAAGTCGATTACAGATTGTCTAAACCGAGAGGGTCGAGTGACACGACCTTTCATCCTCACCTCGGTTTAGCAATTGAGACTGTGGTCTCCGACCACATACGCTTTCTTCTGCGGTTCACGATTAACGTGCCCAAGGCAATCGTTCCAACCCACGTAGCATGGTAGCAGTAAGGGGGAAGTGAAACCCGTGTGACTTTCCCACAAAAGAGTTTTCAAACCAAATTACTTTTGCTTTCTTTCATTTCAATTGACAAACATTTAAACAAAAGTTTTACCGCTAGATAATGATTTCAACAACCGAAGTAGGGGTAGGCGGACCGGCCCGGGTCGATATATAGATACTTGCCCTATAGTGCACCCGATTAGAGTTTAAAAACTTGGGCTCTAATTGGGGTTTAATTGTAGTGTAGTTTCGTGCGAGTCAAGTTTTTGGCGCCGTTGCCGGGGGACAATGGTTCGTTATTCTGAAAAAGTTGTTGGTTGTTAATCTAGCTTTTAATTTCAAGTTTTCAAATGTGTGTGTTCTTTGCTTGTGCTAGACTTGGTGTTTTCCGATTGTGTGTAGGAGGTGCATGACCCGAAGCTACCCGACGCCCTTGCTACCACTTGACGAGGACTAAACCAAACTCTCCGACTCCTATCAAGGGAGAGAGAGCTAGTCGAGGCAAAGAGAAGGAGTGAAAGAGGGGGACAACAATTGGGTCCTGGCGTTGGTGGAGAAGTAGTTGAAGAAGTGGAAGTTAAACCCGTCATAGAAGAGGAAATGGTCGGGAACCAAAGGCAAGATGGAGCCGCTCAAGCCCTCCATATGAATGAGGAGGCGGGAGAAGAAGGAGCCCCGGGGACGATGGGGGTACTATATGGCCCCAAGGCCGGCGGACATTCAATCGCCGATCCTACATCCTCCGGTGGCGGTAAACAATTTCGAGATCAAGTCGGCTCTGGTGACTATGATACAAATCAATGCTCTCTTACACGACCATGAAAGCGAGTTACCAAGAGATCACGTGCAAAGATTCTTGGAGCTCGCCGGGAGCTTGAAGATTAATGGCGTGTCGACCGAGGATTTGCAACTAAGGCTTTTCCCATACTCACTCTCGGGAAAGGCACTTAGGTGGCTAAACAACCGCCCACCTCGGTCTATCACCTCATGGGACGACCTCCTGAACAAGTTTATGGCTCGTTATTGCCCGCCTTCGAAGACGGCGGAGTGGAGAAAGAAGATTACACATTTCGAGCAAGAAGAGGACGAAACCTTGAGGGATTCTTAGGAGAGGTACTCCGGCTACTTTCTTCAATGCCCTCACCACGGGTTTGAAGAACAGTTTCGGATCGAAACCTTCTACGGAGGCCTAATGCAAGAAGATAAGATCCTCATTGACTCCTTGTGTCAGGGGAAGTTGATAAATATGGCTTCACCCCAAATAACCGAGATACTTGAAGATATGGCCCTTAGGGGGTATGATTGGGGGTTGACTAGAAGTGGAAGGAGAAGCAATGAAAGGGGAGTGAGAAGCGTGGGAGCGAGTGCTCCGCTCCAGGCAAAGTTGGATAAGTTGCTTGAGGTTATGCTTGAAGATAAAAGGCAAGGAAAACGGGCGGTAATGTCATGCGACTGGTGCTCGAGTACTAGCCACGAGATAGCGGAGTGCCAAGCAATGAAGGAGGCAACCACTCCGGAGGAGCAAGTCGACTTTGTGGCAAATGCTAGGGTCAACAACCCGTATAGCAATACTTATAAGCTCGGATGGAGGAACCACCCCAACTTTGCTTGGCCATCACCGGCTAATCCAAGGCACCCGGGTTTCCAAGGCCCCACAGGGAACTTCCAACCTCGGCCAACCTTCATCCAACAAAGGACCCAACTCCAAGGCTCAAACTTTCAACAGCCGTACCAACCACAAGGTGCCCTAGGGTTTCAACAACAACATCAACCCGACAAGTTATTCAAGCTTGAGGACCTAGCGAACACCTTTGTGAGTATGAGTAGCCAAAAGTTTGAGAAGATGGAGCAATTTATGGATGTGGCGACTACCAAGTTTACCTTGGTTGAGGCGCGTCTTCGAAGCCATCAAGTGAGCCTTCAAAGTTTGGAGGTTCAAATTGCCGGTATCCTCACCGAGAGACCCAAGGGAGCTTTACCTTCCCAAACCGTGGTAAACCCCAAGGATCAAGCCGTGGTGAATGCACTTCAAGTGAGAAGTGAGAAGGTGGTTCCGGAGGTCGCCACAGAAGAAGAAATAGAGAAGGAAGAGTCCAACAAGGAAGAGACCACCCCGAAAAGAAGAGGGAAGAAGCCGTCGAGGAATGAGAGGAAGGCGGCAAGGCAGGCATTGCCGGAGGATGGATATGTGCCACCTCTTCCTTATCCCACAAGGATGTACAAGGAGAGGTTGGACAAAGAGTGTGGAGGGTTCATGGAAATGC